ACTAAAGTTTGTCAGATTTGAAAGTTTCCTTTCCAGGTGAAATGATCCATTTCCCTCTCACACTCACATTATACTGAATTTTGTATTAAATTAGGCTGCATCATATCATTTATTTGTTTCTCTATGTTCAAGTTCAAGAATATGTTTTTCTTCATTGATGAAATTGTTTGCCAAATTTAAAGAAGTTCTGAGGCAATTTTTAAAGAAATTTTCTTTCAGTGCTTAAATGTTTTTCTTTACCCTTCTTATTTTAAAGTACTCTACTTTCATTCAAGTCGAAGGTCTTAAACTATTCTCAGTAGCTTGTGTACGAGCCCTTTAAAAAAAATTGCTCTAGTTAGCAAGCTGGTGTGGTGCAGTTAGTTTCTTTCTTGGCAGTCATGCTGAAGTTAAGTTCACGTTAAGGTGGTGGTGCCATTTTCTTTTTCTCAATGAAAAAATGCAACGTCAGCCCTATCTGTCCCCGTCGTTTTATGCAAGAAAAATTTTGAAATTATGCCAACTGAGCCCAAAAATGTGAAATTATGTGATTCTGTTAATTTTAACAAAGAATGATAAAGGAAAATAATCAGAAATTATGCAAAAAATGATCAAATTATGCGGGATGCATAAAACCAAGGGGACAGCCCAATGCTCTCTCTTGGAAATGACCTGTTATGTGTGTAATAGCTTTTGATAAGGTGTTTCACTTCAACAATTAGAAGATGAAAAGAATTTGAATATTTTGCCTTGCTCTGCCAATGTTTTTGCATGATTAACCTGGTGCTGGGCTAAATCTTTTACGAGGTAGCATACATACATGTATATCTGCTGTTAGGTGCATGACCATTCAAGCTCTGTGCTGCAATGACGAATGAAAGATAGACTTGCACGTAATTGCAGATGTTTTACTGTGATATTTTCTTTGCTTGCATTACAGTTTTTGTTTTTTTATTTGAGCAATATATGTATATAATTATACACCTATATCTGTATACATGTGTGTGTGTGTGTGTATGTGTGTGTGTTATTAAGCAGTGAGAGTAAAGAAAGAAATAATATGATTTTAGGATGGGAAAATCATACTATGTATTACTTGCTGGATCACTGATGACTCTTGTAATTTATGAACTCTGGAGTCAATACTTGATGTGTACAGGAATAGATTTTGAATTGAGACTGAGAGAGAAAGAAAGAAAAAAGAGAGAGAGCGAGAGAGAGAAGGTATAAAAGACTTCATCATTTGTACAAAGTACCAAAATCAAGATGCTGTAATTGCTTTCAGATATGTGCTTGACAATGAGATAAATGGTAGACTTGGAGAAAATGAAATTTTGTTACTGATTTTCTTTTCTAGTATTTCGAAGGATTCGTCTTTTTAAGTTTTGAGCATTTTGTGTTTTATATGAATACGATTGGAACTTTCTAAAAAGTTTTAGTACTTCAAAGAGCATAGGGGTATATATATGAGGGATAAGTTTTGAGTAAATGAGTTTTAAAAATTTCCCATAACGAGGTTGCCAAAACGATGAATTGAAAGATGTATCATTGGTTTATCTTTGACTTTGGCTAAGATGCCCATGAACTCTGGGTCTCTCTTGTAAGGCCATAAGGTTCCCTTTTATCTGATATTATTACACTAGGGGGTTCACGCGAAAATTAATGTCTATCTGCAGGACCAAACGATTTCAGATTTGAGGGAAATTTGTTTTGACTTCCAAATAATTGTTGAAAAAATAGAAAAGTATTTGTGCAAAATCATGTTGATTTTAGATTTTGAAATGGTTTACTTTTCCTTATTCTGATAAAACCTTGTTTGAAATTCTTGATCTATTTTTACTGATCTCTCAAAATAACTTTCTGGTGGGCTTTCACAGAGCCACACTCACATTTTTGTTTTCTTTTTATACTGTGTGCCGTTGAATATTTCTCTGCCCTGAAGTTTTGAAAGTGGAACATTCCTGGATGCATTGCTGAGGAATTGAATGAGAAATACAACTTATTATTGGAATCTGGGTTTATTTATAATATACACCATTCCTTATCCACTGCCATTTCTTCATGAAGATGCATTTTGTCAACAACAAAAAATGCTTTATGCTTGGAGTCTTGCAAGTTGAGTTTTTCTTTGGTGAGTTGGTTCTAACAGATCAGAAACTCAAACTGAAATTTTCAATCTCAGTTGTTACTTTGCAATTTTAATTTGCAGCATTGTGTTTAAACGTTTTGAACAATGATGTAATTTTATTTTTTGCTGTGTTAAAATTTAAGCTGTTTCAACTTTTGCCTCTTTGATTTTAATTTTTTTTTCAATTAAAAAAATTTAATGAAAATGTTCAAGCCTTTATTTTTTATAACAACACATCTACCTTGTCATTAGCCTCATTTGCCTCCTGATACGCCATCACCACAGGTCGTAAAATATAGACCAATACAGAATAAACTCTATTGTATGTTGTGACGCAGCAGTGCCTTCTACTACTACATATATAATATACTCTTACTTTTTCCCCTTTGAAACATGTGGGCATTCAGTTCTATCAGAAGGACAATTTTTTAGTAAGATACATCTCCCCTCCATCCATCTTGTCTATACATCGACATTTTTTTCTTGACAGATCTCCTAGTGTAAAAATTTTAAAAATTCTCTTTTGCTTGTAAAGTCAAAAAATTTTGGCTGCCCATCGTCAATTGTTGGCCTGCAACTAATCCAATTTGTTGATGTGAGTTGCACCCTTATCATCTCAAAATAAAATATGAAAACGAGGTGGTTTGTGTTGGAACTATGTGTGCTTGGCTGTCTTTGTATGATTGATAGGTGTTTTCGTGGTCACTGTGTATGGCAGGCACTTGTATATATTTAATAAGAAGCTCCATGCCAAATTAATTCTCAAGTGACCACCAACAAGCACATGTATCTCTCTTGACGTATCTCCCTGTTTCTGTCTAGTCTTTCTCCCACTCTCTCAGTTTTGTCTCCATCTGTGTGTGTCTAGTCTCTCTCCCTCTGCTCTGTCAAGTCTTGAAGTCTTGACCCTCCATTAGCTCAGTAGGTATCATGCTGGACAATGGAGCGGATGGCCTCAGATTTTCCCGGAAAATGTCTCTTGACATACTTTGACATGGGAGAGTCTAGCTCCTGACAGACCCATCTGGAGAGCAGCAGTCACTGTGGGCAGTAAATCATATGAAGCTTCACAAATAAGACATGTTGAAACTAACGAAGAAACTCGCATGATGCTCACATCCACAAGTGGTAGTGGAGCTTTTAAATATATATTTCAAACTGGCAAACTTTTCTTTACCTGAAGTAGAAGTGGTCTCATTGGCCACAGCAGAAGCCACATGTCATTTTAACCTTTAACTTTAATTCTTCAAATTCCTCTATTTCGCTGGAGAAATATTTTCCTCTTCGGATGTATTGATCACCATCAGACATTGACAGACAAGCTTTTATTATTGGCTTCGATTCAAATCCTAGACTGGGCGTTCCTGAACTGGGGTCGTTTTGTAGAGTTTTCGAGGCTCTCAACCATTTTTGCTCGGTTCTATTGGAGACTGATGTTAAATTCAGAGGTCCCGCCTCTGAAATAACCTGGGTTGATAGGGTTCAACTCCTACACTTACTTTTTTACTGTCTAGTCTCTCTCTCTATCTCGGTCTAACCTTCCTCCCACTTTCTCTCTCTCTCATTCCCTGCTCTGTTTCTTTCTCCTCTCGGTCTAGTCTTTCTCCATTTTTCTCAGTCTAGTTTTGCCCTCTATCTCGATTTAGTTTAGGCCTCTGTGTGTGTTCTCTCTCTCTCTCTCAGTCCAGTCTCTCTCCCTCTAGCTCTCTCTTCCCCTCACTCTCTGAATATTCTCTCTCCCTCTAAATATCTCTGTTTAGTTTCTCTCCCTCTATTTCCATCTGTATGTCAATCCAATGACTATTTGTGTGTACGTCCGTGTATATAAGTGTATACGTGTCTGTGGTCGGTGTGTTGACGTGTGTGTGCAATGTACAATCTATTTACCATGCTACAGAAAATTACTCTTTGTGAAGACCTTATCTTAGTCTCTCTCCCTCTCTCTGTCTCCAGTGGGTGGTTGACGGGTGCTCTGGTGTGGTTTGTTTCTTCTTTCCTGTCAAAGATCTATCGTCCTTATCTCCCCTTTTTCTTTTTTATGTTTGTTACTCTCTTGTAACACCTCTAATCTTCTGGCGCTCATATGACCTTTTATGCAGTTGCGAGTGCTGTAAAACCTCTACTAAAACTAAAGCTCTCTCTGTCTAGTCTTTCTCCCCTAATCCTATCGGATAACTCTGTTTGGTGGAGGACCTTGTTCGTAACAAACCTTACAACTTAAAACCTCACATTTTTTTAAGGGGCGTTAAACCTGTACATGTACCTTGCCTTACACATACACACAGCACAAGCACTACCTTTTACCTCAACATGACACAGACCACTGCAACCATAAACTAACCCTGGCTGTCAGGGAGCTGGGGGAAGGAGATTAACTTTCAGTGGGTGCATATCCTTGCATGTTCCACTTGTTCTACCCTCCCCTCCCGCATGATTTTTTGAGTAGCAGATTTCCTTAAATAGATTGGGTACAATACTTTCAATTATTAATTTCTTCTCACTCCACTCCCAGACTAGCTATAATTTATTGCTTCAATTATCATCTCTGTAAAAGGACACTGATAAGCACAGTCTAGCATGAGCATAACAAAATTTACAGGATGTTAAAATCGTAAACGAAATTCACTACAATTTACGTACATGTTTTAAATACAAAGAATATTATAGACACGCAATGGGCCCCACCTGGATTTCAGCTACAGCAGGCTGAGTCCGTTCTCTCATAATATATTTAGTAGACCCGAGTTCAATTACCATGTGTAGATAATTTTTAACGGGTATCCTCATCCCAGATAGGTCCTGACTTGCATAATTATTATTTTATTTTTTCAATCAAAATTAAAATTTAGCAAAATTTGGGGGTAAAGTCCAAAAGAAAACAAAGACCAGATTATTTATTGATGCATTATCATTTATTCTTTGTATTACAGCACCAACTACCTTTTCCAAATTCTAATTCTTGCAAATCACACGAATCATGGTCTATTAATCATGTATGCATCCTTGATCAAGGTCAATATATCAGAAAATATAAGATTTTTTTTTACCTTGTCATGTACATGAAAAAAACCTGCTAATAGGGCAATAAAGAAATCTACCCCTTCACATTACCTTGACTTTTCTCTCAAGCTTTTCAAATGAAACAGCAAGAAATGAAGATGGGAAAACAAATACCTCATCAATAAACCTAATAACTTTGCACCATTTCAGAACATTATCTTTGAAAAAAATATTTCTACAAGAAAATGAAAGAGGACTAGACAAAAAGTTTTAAAAAAGATGAATAAAATGAGAAAAAGTCAATAGGCCACATTTAAAATAAAAATTTAAAAGAATTTTCAATGGCATTGGTACAGTTTTCTACAATGAGACAAAATGTTAATCAACTTAAATTAAATGTCATACAAGCACTAGACAGGTAATACATTTTTACTGTCATACTAGATATAAACAGATCATCATAACAAACGATGAATCCTTGACCCTCTGTCAAAAAAAAGTAGCTGCTAATTTACATCATACATATTCACGATGAGTGTTCCATGTCTTACTGTCTAGACTCAAAAAAATCTATCTGAAGACTTAGCACTTCCCTTTGTGGTAGATCTATGTGTGAGGAAGAAGGTAGGGTAAGAAATATGCAGGAATGATACACCAAAAAGAATATCACACTGTTTTTCAACCTCATTGACAAACAGGCTGTTTTCAACTCAAACAACCACTCAATATCACAGACATTCAAATGAACATCTTTCCACAGCAAGTATTCATATATTCCGATTCAAAGAATTTACTGTAAACCTTTTTTTTTGGGGGGGGGGTGGGGGGGAACACATTTAATTTGTGATTTTTGCAATTTTAAAAGAAATTTGCAAATTCATGTCAGTCTTGAAATGTTAAAAGCAACTGCATAGGAAAATGTGATACTAGGCGACTCAGATCGCTAATTCAAAACATTTGTGAAAAAAAGAAATGAGCAAAATGTGAAAAAAGAGTAGAGCATGCAGTGAAAAAAAATACTGTGCAAATATATGCTGTTGTGTGAGCCCTGTCCCCTAGGTAATTTGGACAAAATACCCCTGAGTTTCCTCATGTTGACTGATAGATTTGTACTAGTACCACCACACACAGACAGGCAGTCAGCGCCCAGAAATGTACAGATATCGCATGCTCAGGTGTGTACTCAGGTCCGTTGGGTTAACATTGCTCTGGGGAATTAGATATTTCATCAAGTCTACTACAACCCTCAGTATAATTAATATAGGCTACATATCTGTCACAGGTATTTCCAGAACTCATGGAAGAAAATATCATTGGAGAAACTCTGATCAAAGTCACTGACACTGAACACAACATGAACAATCTAGAAATGCATGTGTTTGTTTTTTCTTTATTACCTCAGCAACTGAGTGATTGTGGAATATTGAAACCACAGACTCCCTGAAATAAGAAAAAAAAATATCCTCAACCAGCTTCAGTACACCCAAAGTCTATAGGCAACTTGACCCTGTAATGTTTAATAAATCATTTACTTGAGGCTCCAAAATGATCTTATTTCAGGAGAAGGCCGACATGGCATACTCTAACCACCGACCGCAGGAAATGGTGATGTTGAGAAGAATGCCCTTTTCTCTCTCTTAGAGAAAATGCCAGTTTCCTGGAAAATAGGTACAAAATATATCAATCACGATCTAATGAAAATTCACATCAGGGTAGCTTGAAATTGAGAGCGGCCAAAAAAACCCAACCAAAACCCCAAAACTTGTTCTCAAAGTCCCCAAAACAAGGAAGACATCAAAATACTAACACTTTAGTACGATGACGTCTCACAAATCCAGTTTGCTTTACAAGTAATATGCTCATGATAGAATTCAATAAGATTTCTGTACATTGTGACATCATTTGTATAACAAATTTTAACAAACTTGTATCAAACATAAGTATTTGCAGTATTAAGTCAAGGTAACGGAATAGAAACGTTACCATCAGTCTGTTGCCGCCAACATGTCTATCACAGCATCTGCTGATCCCATCTGGTAGAGAAGGTCATTCAAATAACCTTGCTCAACATGGGGGAACATCGCTGACACCATCTGAAGGTCAGCATGGTCTGATCTAAGTTCATCAATATGCATCTTTGGTTTCACAGGCGTGTCGCAGCCCACGCTGTCCCTGAACTGAGGCGGTGAGTTGCGGGTTGTCGGAGAACGACGAGTTACCTGCTGCTGAGTGGCAGTAGCCCGTGCAGCGGTTCTGACTGCCCTAGAGCTGTACACGGTGCCAGCAGGAGCTGCCTTGACTTGTGGCTTGACATTTTGTGGGGGAGGCTGTCTTTTGGGCTCTGCTTCTCTCAAACGCGGTTGGGGTGGCTGTTCCGTCGAAGCATTTGAACTTTCAAGCTGCTGTAGAAATGCCTCTCGCTTTCTGTAGAAAGAACAATAAGTAGCAATGATAAGCAACAATAGCATCATATAAAATAAAAATCAATTATACTAAAAAAAAACAAAGACATACAATACAACATCAAGACAAAATACAGCAAAACTTAAGATCAGTCAAACCCCTGCTTGGCCACCAGTCCAAGTTAATCACATGTAACATACAACCACTTTTCATCCCCCCAGGGCATTAAAAAAATACTATAAAAAAACTGTCCAAGACATATCTAGGTGTCTAAGACAACCACTGTTCTCCTTGACAATGGGTATCCATCTAGGACAATTTTGACAGGTACCGCATACCTTCAACAAACCATAAATAAATGCACTGTAAGCCATGAACATAGCAGTCATCTTTCCTTGACCCTGTTAGTGATAATGAATTCCCTCCACATAAAATCACCAGCTGAAAGCTAGAGGTAATTATGTCCCAATTTAAAACAGTCAGTTGCAGAAAGTTTTGATTTAAGTTTGAGTAAAGAGAAGCACATCGACACAATAACAGCCATTTTAGGCTGAGGAAAAGCCAGATAGACAGAGAGAGAGAGAGACAGACAACAGACAGAAAGGAAATTAGTGTACCTCCCAATGGTATCCTCCAATCACTAGTGTTTGGTGTTTTTATCTAAGCTAAGTCGGAGGGGGGAGCAGACAAAAATTTCCCCAGCACAACATCAGCTCAAAATGTCCCTGCGGTTGACTCTGAATCAGTCACCTGCAACGTAGTTTAGTATGATACTTTCTGACATAGACTGCCCCCTCCCACTCTCCCAATTTAGCAAACAGAGAGGAAAACTACACAGAATGTCTTTTTCAGTTTTAGTAATAGTTTTACAGCACTTGCAACACAATTAGGTCATATAAGTGCCGAAGATTAGAGGTGTTACAAGAGAGTGACAAACATAAAAAAGGAGGAGAGATATGGACTATAGATGGAGCAAACCACACCAGAGCACCCACCAACTGCCCATAGATTATCTTTAAAAAGGTTAAAAAAATCAACAAGACTTCAAAGCTTTTTTTCCTACACAAGTAAAGAACAGCTCTAAAAATGCTTGTCCCTGTAAATATTTCCTTACCGTCTCACTTCATCTGCTGCAGGAGCTTTTCCTTGACGCATAAGGTTTTGCTCCGACTGTTCAAGAAATATGGTTAAACACATAATTAAAATAAGTCTTCTTCACACAACTGACATGAAGACGTATCACAATTTGTTTGATTTTCACACTTTTCCAACAAGTTAATAAGCAATAAGGTCTCCGACTCTGTACAAGGAGGTAACTGACTTATTGAATGTTAGCTTTCCAGATTTAATTAAATGATTTGATCAATGGCATTCTCAATTTTCTGTTCACCTTCCCCTTGATGCTCTTTCCTTTGGGACTCTTTAAACTATACAGTAGTCTCTGCCTAAACACACAGTGCTTGGGAGGGCTACTTAGCGTGCGTTTACATGAACCTTTGCAAAGAGATGAAGGGACGCAGTCATCTCATTGCCTTGATATTCTAGTGACCTATTAGTGTAGGGGTCACTTTTGCCGATAATGTGACAACACGTGACTGTTGTTTTGTGAAGGATTCCCCGACTGCGGTTAAGAATACAAAGGCGTTCAATGGGGCGGGGGAGGGTAAGAAAGATAGATGCAAAGTAGTAATGATATGTACAATAAAATGTCGGGAACAGATAGCCTAAGAGGAAACTGTTGGTGATAGTCATAGTCATAGAGACGACGGCGCAGCCACATGCCTTTCCAAGTGCACACCACCAAACCGTAAATTTACGGATGACATCAAAATCATAGATCTCTATATGTTCAGAGAAACTTTTCTCTCATGATTCGTTGAACAAGTACGTTAAATAAGTTCTTTGAGCGCAGCTCATTAGGCTTACTTGACTAATCTTTCATCCTATAGAGGCCTATCTAGTGTTTTACAGCATTCACACGTGTTGCACATCATTCATAGGCCTAGGTCTAACTAAAAATTAGTCACCTAAACACCAGTCAGAAACCTTCTCTCAAAGATGCATTTTCAGTGACCAATCAAAAAGCATTTCAGTTTTTCAGTCCCCCCACCCCCCCTACATTTCACCGACCAGTCCTAGACCTATGTGTCTGCGGAAAGTTGGGTGTGAAAACGCTGTCCAACACTCTCTTTGTTCGGCGTGAGGGGCAGTCTCACCAAATATCCAGTTGTCTAGGCTTGTCTTATGCAAGCTGTGCAGGTTGTAGAGAAAATTTCCCCTTGTTTGTCAAGCTTTACCGGTCAGCTTGTTTAGCAGATCGGAGCGTGCGTTTAGAGGGAGTGGCCGTGCGTTTGTACACTGTATCTAAATTATACCGTAAAAAACCCATCAGATGACGAAAGCGTGCTTTTGCATGGCATGCGTTTAGGCTGAGACTACTGTACAATTTTATTTTTTTTTAATATTGATTTGTTTACTTACTCCTGGGAATATGTCATTTGGTTGTTGCTGACATGCATACATTTATATTCTTTGCCTTATTCTTCTTCGTTCTTAAAATTCACAACACACTAGGCCCACAATGAGAAACAATAGAAGTCAAAATGTTTGGATACAGAGAACGTAAAACTCTACTTACATTCAGAGCACACTATACTTTTATCTTTTATCTATTGCATCCTCACTCAAAAACTCAGGAGCCTACCCATAAGCCAATATATTATTTTAAAAATTTCAGTTTGCAACTTTGTTTTTCCATTGTGGTCCTCACATTATATTCTCCTACCCACTTGGGTCACTGCATTGCTTTGAATTTTTCTCGTTTTAGTTAGTTTAGTATGGGGTTTTACGGCGCTCGCAATTGCATAAGGTCATATGAGCGTGCGAAACACAAGTTATTTTTATTCGCAGTTTACTGTACAGCTGGGTACGGGTCATTTGATCTTAAAGCGTTAAAATATTTAAAATTTGGTGTAAAAATATATTTTCAATCTAAAACAACTTTCATAAAATTTTTTAATAGTTCAATTTTGTTCTACAATGTCCCATAAAGTAAAGGCCAATGGCCTTCATAAAATCCAAAATTATGTTGGGACCAACAACGGAATAAATGTCATGAAATTTTTTACACTTGAAGTATTTCCTTTGGATCTCTTCGAAGTCTAGACATTCGGTTAAAATGTGTCTAATGGTAAAATCTGTGTGGCATAACGGCTTTTCATCTCCCTGAAGAAGGTATTTGTGTGTTAGGGCCATGTGTCCGATGAGTAATCGAGTAAAAATGACTTTGTCTCTTCTGGAAAGGTCTGAAGGATTTCGCGGTCCCAGTTTGGGTTTAATATTGTGGAGTTTGTTTCCCGTCTGGTTTTTTCCAGTGGCTCTCCCACAGACTCCATTTTCTCGTTTCCCGCTCTTCAAAAGAGTAATAGTAATAAGCACATAAACCTGCTGAAATATTACAAGCAAAGAAGTCTTTACTCACTTTTCTTCTTGCCTCAGCCCTTTTCGCCTCAATCTGTTCTTCTTCAGCTCTCTTTGCCGCCTCCCTGTATCCTGCCTGTTTCACCTGAAACAAAACAAAATAATAATGAAATAATCAACCAAATTTTTATAGCCCCCCCACTCTCATGTGGGTCGCAAGTGTTTTAGATAGATATCAAAATGAACAGTTTATGGGCCGCCAGGACTGCTTTGGATCTACAATATTGTCCATATTTCAGACATTAAAAGTCTGAGAGCGATGGTTTGCAAAAATCTTCCATTTTGAGAGTTTGGGTACATTTCTTGCCTTCTACATTCCACTGGGGCCCTGTGGCATCTTTTTCCCAGCTGATGTCATCTATATAACAGTTCTTCTTAAGAAGTTTGAGAACATGATTGTAAGTGTAAAGTAGTTTCTGTCAGCCTTTTTTCTACCTCTTTCACTGTACCTTTATTGATTTGATGTCTTATCAATGGGGGTGGGGATGGGGGGATATTGTAGATCCTCTGGGAGATGAGCTTGCTAAATGTTTCTCAACGGTGAAAATGTTATCAAGGCTTTTATGCTTTATGTTTCAATGTTGGTTCGTTTTTTTAGAAAAAGAGAAGCAAATTGACATAACATGCATAATTTAGGGCAGGGAAAAAGTAAGAAAGACGGATAGAAATATTAGAGGGATTGTAATGTAAAGGAGTAAAACACACCAGAGGCACCCTCCAACAACCGACAAGATAGTTACATTAAAATATTTGTTTAACTTCCTGTAAGCAGATTAAGTACATGAACGTTCAGGGTAAAAGATAGTAAAGAAGAGAGTTTAAGGGAAAATTAAAACACATCAACAGTGCTCCGAGAAACAGCCAAACAAGAAGTAGGCAAGAAATGGGTACCTGGTAAAGTATTGGAAACAAACAGAAAAACCTTAACAATTGAAGAATGTGTGTGTCACGGCGTCCGAAATTCCGTCTCAGCGATCTTTTAGTTAGTCCGGGCCCCCCGCGGTAGGCCATAAATTAGCGGCAGGTGACCTGCAATTTCACGCGTCAAGTCGGGGATTGACCAGGGTCAACTCGTGCACAGTGCTGTCCTATCTTGTCCTTATCAGAACGCATTTCTTCCCCTAATTTCATGAGCCGTAAAATGATGCTCACTCTATCCCTAGAATCTATTTCTTCACCAATTCCGCTTCGTCTACGTCTTCTTGATATCTTGTGAAAGTTTCAACAGTTTTCATTGATTCGTTTGGGAATAATAACAGTTTTAAATTGTGAGTGTTAAGTGATCGGAAGCGCCGTTAATAATGTTATCTCTTCAAATTTAATTACAAGTCCTTCGAGAATGGAACGATGGTCTTTATTTCTGTTTGCACAGTGTGATAGCCATCAAATCATATTTTCTAATGATGTGAATTTTGTTTTTCCAGCACTTTGCGGTGACTGGCAATCAGTTAGTGAATTGTGTTCCTAAGTAAAAATCGTTAAACTGCAATGGGTCAGTCACACATATGAGAGGCATAGAGTCTCTGAATGAACTTTGTTGTATGTGTTGGCGTTTAAATTCAACTGTCAAACAAAAAAAGCACAGAAAGCCCCGACTATGTAAGACAATGGCAGGAGATATTCTCTTGGTTTATGGGATTGATGTGAGGGACGAAAATGAACAGTCGTATTCCGCTAACATTTGTGTCAAGTGTTTTACCGCGATTTCAACTATCAAAAGGAGATATGGTGTTACGTCACGTCAATTCATGCCGCAAAAAAACAGTTGACACCAGTAGGAACATGTGGTGTGCGTTTGACAATAGCATAAATGTGAATTCCTTCTCCGTTTTGTCAGTACCGCTTAGGTGGCTGCATACAACGATCCATTTCAAGCTAACATCGTAAAACACCCCAATCATACCTCCCCCCATCCCCATGTATGCAAGGAACTAACAAACAATTTATACAGAAACAAGAAAATACTCCCCCGAAACTGCAAAAATTGAGGAGGCAAGTGGACTGGAAGCAATATTCAATCTTCTCAATGAAAGATTTAGCCATGTTCACACTGCAATATCACATCTGAAACCGTCAAACAATTTTCACTTCCAGAAATCTCCGTAGCAATCGACAATTACATGTCCGCATTCAAACGCTATTTCCCCACAAAGTTATCCCAAAGCCACACATATCATAACAACACTGTATTCCACACATACAACAACACATGTTTGCTCTCGGGCTTTTAGGAGAACAGGACACAGAAAGCAGCCACCAAGCGATCTCAAAACTGGAAGCCAGAGCACGAAGGATCTCAAACCAGATAGACATAATGCGTTTTATTTTTTGTGTCGCATCTCCTGCAAATAGCCCCCTCATTGCGTGCTACTGGATATGTTTAAAAAGAAAAATTGTATAAATTTACAGTTTTATTCTGTACATGTTCATTTTGTGAAAAGAAACCGGTGCTGTATATTGAAGATGCGTCAGTATATCATTATTCAGGAGGATACACAATCCATTGGACACAAAAAGTCATAAATGCAGGGAAGCGTTTTGGCTATCATGCTCATGACAAGTTCCATGTTCGTGCTGGAAACAAAATTTTGAGTGAGTCAATTTCTAAACACATTTTCCTGTCTTATGTGGCAGTTTTGTAAATATTTATCCTTAGGCTTGTAAGTTATTAGCCATTCAATATGTGTTTGTTGTTTTGACTAACTATAAATAGACATACATTTTAAGAGCATCTAACTCAAAAACGTGAGCAGCCATGGTATTGCTATTTCGTACCAATAAAGAGGTTTAGTTGCTTTCTCTAAAGAACAAACTTGTGTTCACGTATTATATTTTTTTGTTTTTGTAAGACGATAAAACATGTGTTGAAAAATTCATTTCACCGGCTACCGACGCAGGTAGCGGGAGGGCGGGTTAGTGACCTCTGGGTGACCGGCCCGCCGTGACCCGGTCACTCCATCGCCGATCCAACTAAAAGAGCGCTGTCTGTACGCCGTGGTGTGCGTATGTGTGTGTTGTGCGTGTGCCTGAGTGTGTGTTTGTGTATTTGGCAGACTCACATCCTGCCATGGCGGTGAGTTTGTGCCATTCAATAAACATCATCTCATGGAATTTCCAACCCTGAGAGCCCCAAAGCTACTGAAGACACAATACAGATATTGTTGTAAAGCAAAAAATAAGATGATTTGTTCCATTTTATTGGAGATGTACATGTTTCTCACCTGTCTGTTATATTTCTGTGCTCTCACTGCGTTGGCCTGTCTGTTCCGCACCTGGTCCTCTGTCAATTCACCACCACCTGTGGTTAAGATAAAAATCAATAAAGTTAAATTTGAAAGTTCATAATAAGATCTTAAAATCAAAAGAGGTTATTTATAGACAAAAGTCGGGCAGGGAAATAAAAGCCCAAAAAGTAAAAAAAATTGTTTAATTCAAAGTCGTTTGTCTCCGTTTTTCTTCATTAGGCTTACTATATCTCCACCTCCTACATGATTGTATGAGAGGATTTTGGAATCTTAAACCCTTCATGCCTAATAATATACATGGTCCACGACGAAAATGCATAATTTTTAGCTTTATGACAAGCCATGAAGAAGTTGGAAAAATGTGTCATTCCTGGTTGCTTATAAGACATTACATGCATAAACCACTAATTATCTGGCTCTGATTCTTCTATACAGAAATATAGCCACAAGAACAGCATGGAATCATATCCAGGAATAAAAAATGCCCATATCAGTACCAAATTTGCAAGCGATCTTGCAGAAAAAAGCTTGCTCTCAGATTTTTTGATTTTTTTGGTAAGTTTTTTACGGCAAAGTAACTGCATAAGGTTATATGAGCATGCGGGACACATTAAACATTTTCAGTTGGTGGGAAATTTTGAATAATTTTGCCCGGGGAGGTGGCCCAAGCCTGCTTTTTCATCGATTTTGGACCACCAAAGGATCTTTAACGTGCTCAACTTGCACACGGGACCTCCGAGATTTTTCACCCTTGTCCGAGAACGCAATGTGTAGATCTTTCCTACCGTAAAATCAGGAGTGTAGCTGAAAGACAGCAGTAAGAAGGAGCCAAGGAGTAGCAGGAGAAGGGCTACAGAAAGAGTCAGGAACCCAGAGGAGTGGGCAAAGGAGATGAGGGGCTGGGGGCAGAAAGTGGAGACGAAAGCCAATGACAGAATATTGCAAGAGAGCAGGAAAGGAGGTGAAAGGAGACCATTTTTTAGAGAAGAAAAGCTTTACTCGCTACAGTCTTGCCATTAAAGGAAGGAACATTCCCGTGCTGTGGGTGATCAAGGGAGAGTTTATAAATTATTTTCTCAACAAAACTCTACAGAGAACTAAACTAGCACAACAATTTAAACTTCCGTTTTCACCTGATTTGTATCTCCTCAAAATCTAAAAGTAGCATTGTATCATAGAATTGACTTTCAATATGAAAAGTGAATATTAATTTTGAAATTTGAAAAGAATGTTGTAAAGAGATTATTCTCATACAAACCAGCATGTTAATTAAATTAAGTAAGACAAAATATGAACCATCTCTGAATTACATACCATATATAAGTACCACCATACCATAACAATTATTTTACTCAATTTCAAAGCTATGATTTAATAATCCATAAGTATAACCATTATGAAAGAGGTGCTCGAAGGAAGGATGGGGGGGGCAGGAGATCCAGGAGAAGACAAAGAGAAACATGGGTGAACAACATAAAATTGTGGGCTGGCTTGGATATAGCAGAATGCACAGCGCAACTCACGAGTCAACCCAGAGTCAGAGATGACACTTCCAAATTCCATAAGTATCAGCTGCTGAGGAACATACCTACAGTGCCCACATGACGGTAAACTTTCCCAGTATTCTGCTGCTTGTACTGCTCATAATTTGCTGTCTCTCTCTGAGCCACTGAAATTAAGAAAGAAGAAAGAATTGAGTGCAAACTTGATGACCTCCAGGCAATGCCTTTCAACAATACAGTTATACTTTTGGAATCATAAGTACTGTAATGTATTTTACTGAACTGTACAGGGCAGGGGGTTCAAGAAGTCTTTAGTCTAAATATGAAGGAATAAAGATAGAGCTTTGTAACTTGGCACACATACTTTCATTTGTCTACATAGTCACTATGCAGAGTAACGCATTTCTGCCACCTCTCTTAGACCTTCATAGGTTCTTGAGAAGAAAATGACCCAGAATGAGCCCCTAACTAGTCTTCCACAGCTTCAATGGCGTCCTCATTGTCATGGAAACGACGTCCTTTCAGTGATTTTTTTAAGATTAGGAAACAGAAAAAAGTCTAAAGGGGCTGGGTCTGGTGAATAAGCAGGGTGTGGCAAGATTACGAAGCCGTTCTGTTCTGCTGTCTGGACTGTTTGTTGTGCCCTGTACGCAGGGGTGTTGTCATGCAATAGGAGGACCCCATTACAGAGTTTTCCACGCCTTTTTCTCACCAATTCAGACCGCAGTTTTATCAGCAAACCCGAATAGTAGTCCCCTGTGACTGTTTTTCCTTTTTCCAGGTAGTCAGTCATGATGTAACCTTCACATTCTCAGAAACACGACAGCATGACCTTTCCACTGGACGGTGTTATCTTTGCCTTCTTTGGCGAGGGAGAAGAAGGGGTTTTCCATTGCATGGAGAACATTTTTTGTTCTGGATCAAAATGATACATCCATGTTTCATCCATGTTTTTAAAGAAATTTGCGTCATTGGACTCAATTCGAAGGAGAGTTTTGCAGGACTCAACGCTCTGCTTCTTTTGCTCACTTGTCAAAAAAGTGGGGAACCGACCACGCACGCAGACACCACTTCTTACCCAGTATGTAACAGTATTATTACGAGGACATTTGTCACCATAAACTTGGACCACTTCCTGAAAAATGTCTGAAGGGGATTTTCCTTGCAAGTGTAAAAACTTGATAACTGAGCAATATTCAACAGGCTCCATGGCACAGCTTCAGCAAAGAAAAACCAAACGTTTTTGGGCAGGGTTTCATTGATCACGCTGACTAATGCCTTATTATCGTCGGATTTTCCCGAAAATTTCCATGGTCTGTTCCAAAGAAATTGTCTAGAGGCTGGTGAAATTTCATAACTCTACCGTGATTCCTTCATACCCATAACAGAGACTTGAACCTCCCTCGTAAGTATGAAGGGATTCAGGGCAAAATACCCTTTACCTTAATAATAACTTACATACATTATAGCAAAATGCATGCTGCACAGCATGCTCTATGCGCTTTACAAAAATTAATACCCCAGCAGACCCTAGAACATAACTTAGGAAATTCTCCCCTTCCAGGGAAGCTGCAGATTACACGCACTAAAACGTTAACAAATTGACAAGATCAGTTACTGTCTGTAGCAGGGCCCTTCCTACCTGAGTGAAGTGAGGAAAATTTATGTAAAGTGCCTTTCCCCAGGCCATGTCAGGCCACCGACGTATTTTGAACACATAACCTTACGGTTGAGAGTTCATTCTAAGCTCTCCCAACCATACTTAGCTAGCCTTTTCAATGGGCATTATATTAATAAAAAGCTTCTTTTATTTTTAATCAATACGCCTGAAAGAACATTGTGCCATTTCCATAAATAGCATAATATAATATTACTAAGGATAGACATAAACTTTTTTTTACACCCCCCATTTATTTTTCAAATGTTTCAAACACTCTGACTGATGCTTTTGGGCATATTACTTTCAGCTAGGAGAAGACAGTAGTTCAGAACATGTTATATGAAATAACAACTTTCATATACCCAAAAGCCGGAGGGGGGGGGGGGGGGATGGAGAATGGTTTCTGCAGCAGGACTTGGCTCTCTGCAAGAAACAAAATTCCTTTTTTTAAAGATCTGACAAAATGCGTTTTTGAGATTGAACCCTGCAAATCTACATATTTTGTTTATTCATTTAAGAAAGGCAAAAGGTTTCACAGGAGGAACAGTACAGGCTAATATACACAGGAGATAAACTTAGACAACAAAAATTATGAAAAACACGCACCAATCAAAGTAAAAAAATTATCAAAGATAAGACCAGAGCTACAGATCAAACGGACCTTGAGTGGAAAGGCAGTATTTCAAGACAACTTACTCTGAGCCACCTCCTGTCTCTTCCTTTCATTTGGAGCAAACATTGTGAAGCCACCAGCACTGTGACAGAAAAAAATAGAAAAGTTAATGAATTAAAGAAAGTTCCTCATTGTGGTAGCAGAACAGGATAATACCTAAGAAAAAGAAGGAATTGCAATGACCCAGATAATACGTACACAGAAAACTCGAAATTATGGATAGATAATACAATTTGCCATTCCCCGTCTGATTATAATATCTTCCATTTTTCATTATATCGGTAAATCCAAATTATGGATGCATCAAACACATTTGGTAATCCCCAACACGTTTGAATTATCTGTGCTCAACTTCATTTATTAATACCTAATTGCTGCCTCAGAATTACAAAGTCATCGGCTCAGTATCTAGTTTTGAGAAATTTGACGTAAACATTTTAAAGTTTCACAATATCAAGCTTTTAGAATGCAATTCTTTAATAACTTGATATATCGACTCTGAATATTCTTACCATTTTGATAGAGCAGACAGCATTTGCTTTCTGACCTCATAGTCTAAGTAACTCAAAACGGTCTTAAATGTCAGACAGAACTTTGTAATTCTGAGGAAGTGACATTATAATATACCCTTATCCTACTACCGTGTCCAGGAAACACAAGATTGATAACCAGTCTCTGTACAGCTTCTGTGTCTGTACTGAAGAAAAAAATCTCAGACATCAGTTGGTGCCTGGCCATACATACAGTCGAACCTGTGTAAGACGGCCACATATTGTCAAGGGGAAAAGTGGCCATCTAAGACAGGTGGCCGTCTTTAGCAGGACTGATCAAAATGTAAAAACCCAAACTATTTACTCCTGAGGTCCCAACTGGAGGTGGTTGCATGCTTAGGACTGCCCTAGGGCTGATTAAAATGTGTTGTTGTTGTTGTAGTTTTATTTCTTTTGAAAGGGGGGAGAGGATAGGATGGTTTTGAGGGACTTTTTGTTGTTATTTTTTTAAATTAGTAATTATGGTTCCAGGAAAGGTCAAAACAAAATAAACTGTGCCAGACGTGGAAGGCCAAGTGTCATAGTAAAACAAACAAATGGGTCACCACTGTGCGAACAAGCAACTCTTCTGTCGTGAGTTTGGGTTAATGTCCATTGTTATGGACCTGGTTTACAGACTGAGTTGTGGGTGGGGCTTATAGGTGGGGCTTATAGGTTATGACGGATCACACGCTTCCCTTACCAGCAGCTGGTATTTATGGTTATCCATTGGTCAACTTGGGTAAACATTGGGAGTGACCTAAGCAACATGACCATTTCATCCATTGGAGGGACTGACAGAAACGACAGGTGAATAAAATATGACGGCTTGTCCACAACGTCAGGGGAAAATGCATAATTTTTTACAAAGTCTGGCCGCCTTAGGCTGGTAGATTTGACCATGGGTTGATAAAAAAGGGTGGCCGCGGCCGCGTAGGACAGGTGCCCATTTTACACAGTTAAATTATATATAGAAAAAACGTAGGCGAAGAAATGGGTGGCCGTTTGTACAGGTGCCATAGCCGTCTTATAGAGGTGGCCGTCATGCCAGGTTCGACTGTTACAAATTCAGTCATGTATGTTATAGTCGTTGTCTATGTCTGTCATAGCACTAAACATTACAGTGTGAGTAATGCAATAAAAATATTTGGGGGTAAAGTTGAGATCATAGTTCATTCAAACTAGTTCAGAGTTTTGAAGTTAGTTATTTTTTTCTATACTAGATTTCTAAGCCCAACATAATAAGTCAATAGAAAATGATTTTATCTATATAATTTCCTCTAATTAATTTTCATGTGATGAAAAAGTTACCTTAAAAGTAGTTCGACATGATTTATAACCGTTAAATCTGAGCGGCACAAACACAAACATGCACACACAGCACTTCAAACATATTACTTCTATGAGATGGATTAGGCCGTGCAGTCGAGAAAGTTGAACGCACCCAACAAAGAACCAATGAATGCAAAGGTACCTGTGTCAGTCAGGGAAAGTGTGTCATAAACTTTCACCCCATTGTCAGGGCTAGGAGAGAGAGAGCCCTCGGTACAGTGTTATTTTTTCCCAGTCTTCTACCTTTTTACAAGAAGAGTTTCATTAAGGATGGGCCGTGAGAAAGGGCTCCCTTTGCTGAGCCCTAAAGACATTTGATTGGCTGTTAGCATACTATAGTTGTAAGTGGTGACAACAGTGATTGGATAAACCAGCAATTTAAGCCGCCAAGTTGATCACTTTGTGTTCATTGAGTGCGGTCATAACCGTTTCAACTGCTTATTTCATTAGGGAGAAACTTTCGTTTACTTTGGGATAGAGTTGGGGGTGGTGGGTGGGGAGGGGGTATAGGGGCTCAAACCTGTGAGCCCTTCGATCGCACTACCCACCGCCACTGGATGTAGATTGAGAGGGGTCATCCCTGAGCAGCCTTGGTTCATGGGATTTCCCCCCGCACAGAGGCCTATTACCTGCGGCACTGAAGGGGTTAATGGAATTACAACAAAAACTTAATGACAAAATAAGAAAGACTTAATCCTATCCATTCAAAGAGACTGACACAGTGCTTTTACTTTTTTCAACAACCCAACAAAAATGATTACAGTGAAGTTTGCTGGCTTAAGTTGAAATCTGAGAGACCACCACCCTTCCTTTTCTTTGGAGTACTGTGTTCGGTTTAAATAAACTCCACTTTACCTGTACATTTCATCTTAAAGAAGCCCTACAACATTAAAATATGAAAGTGGCTATTCTCACCCGCCGGAAGTTCTCGCAAGATCAACTCCTCCCCTCTTCTCTCTCTCTCTGTCTCTTTCTGAATACTGTCTATCGGTGTGGATGATCAAATTGACCAAAACAAAGTTAAAAAATGATGTTAAAACACAAAAGTAAATTAATTTGGTTGTCTACAAAGATGCTACGGCTTTTTAACTTTTCGAATCGAGCCGAACTACGCGGGTCGCCATTTTGTTTTGCCCGGAAATTCTCGCGCTACTCCTCTCTCTCTTTCTCTCTCTCTCTCCACTGCCCACAGACAAAATTGTACGCTTTTAGTAGGCTACAGTTGTAATGGAACGTTTGTTCACGGCACAGAATTCTACAATTTTTCTGTTATCACAGTGTAGAATTCTGTGGTTTAGGGTGAACGCAAAATTTGGTGAACGCGCATCGGGTGAGAATAGCCACAAGACTCGCCTGCACTATTCTCACTCCGGGTGAGAATAGAGGTGGCCTTAAAATATTCAAGACTCACTATTGTCCTCTTTGTGGATCTTCCGGTTGGTGGTTGTTTGTCTCGGAATCACGTCTTTCTGGTCCATAGTTGGGGTTTCCTGATCAGAGACATAACATATATATTATACTACATCGATAAACTTAAAGTCATTTTTTTTTTACAATTACAAATCTTATATAGGTCAATCAATTTATACTCCCTGTACTTCACTACAGATGCTTACTTTCCAGAAAGGAAACATTGTACTTTCTGTATAGATAGCAAGGACACTTCCGCATTTTTTCTTAGAGCAGTCAAACATGGTCTGCAAAATGGCAAGCAAATACAAATCAGTAGGCCTATCTTTTGCTTTTTGTCAGTTAAGCCATCATTAAGTACGCACGGCTAGCCTGCCAGTCTAGCCCCATCCTTAAGTTTGGCTATAAATATAGCCTCTTCCTAACTAATTAAATCTGGAGGTAAAACTAAAGTTCACAGAAAAAAGTCATATATATAGGACTTTGAAGTTCTCAGCTCAAGAATTCAGTCATGATGCTAGTCAGCTTGTTGAGTAGCAGAGAGCTGTTGCCCCCAAAAAATCGCTCAGGTAACAACACTCTAGACTAGTAGATCTAGATTCTTTACAAGAGATGAAATATTTATTCTCGACTATAGCCTCCTAATTCATAAAGAATCCAGATCTAGAAGCAGGCCTAAACTTAATACCTAGCCTTCCCGGTTCGTTCATACTGAAATTTCTAGATGCTGCTCCTCTCCTGGTACTGTAGCTGCCTCTCGTTGAGGGGTTTCCTCCTCTTCCTCTGCTATTTACGTTTCCTAGAAACTGCCTTTCACCTCGAAGATGGGGAGTACCACTACCTCGAATTCCTTCTTTGGGAACTTCAGCTCCTGATGGAGTGGCCTCGGAAGACGAGCCTAAGATATTTCCTTCTCTTGATCTACCTCTGGACCGTGTAGAGTGACCACCTCGACCTCTGGTCTGAACTGAGGGACGGGATGAAAATGTCCGACTCATTTGTGCTAATCAGTGGTAATTCCTATTGAAACCGAAACTGAAATCTGGAATGTTGTGTGAGAAGATCGTAAACGTATTTTTGTTTTGTTTACTGGGAGCCAGGAATGCGAGGTCGAACAAAATGTTCGATCAAATTGATTTCCGCCTACGTGGAAAAAAACAACAACTCAATTCCTTTTTTTGGAGGCTAGGCTAGTTCAAAACGAGTCAAGTTGACCATTGTAAAGAGACAGGTGAAACTGACTTGGTTTTCAGAACACAGTGGCAGCTGTTTGATGAAATTAAGTTGATAATCCGCCTCAATAAGTTAGAGTGGCCAATATGGCAAGTAAAACAATATTTGGAAAGCTCTGATCTCACATTCTCTACTGCTTGATACTGCTACCCAAAGGCCAAATTTAGTCGGTGTGCTGATAAACAATCTTCAACTTCAAGCATCATGTTGGAAGATCTGGTAAACGGAATTGAAAACAGCCGGCTCGTGCTTGTTACGGGTAAGTTGCTATAGAGTACTTGATGTTTTCAATCGGCTACTTATAGATCTAGATCTAGTCGCTGTTGCAAGCTTTCTACTTAGGCCACCTCTATTCTCACCCGGAGTGAGAATGGCCACCTCTATTCTCACCCGGGATGAGAATAGTGCAGGCGAGTCTTTTGGCTATTCTTACCCGGTGCGCGTTCACCGTTATATAGCCTAGATCTAGGCCAACAAATTTTGCGTTCACCCTAAACCACAGAATTCTACATTGTGATAACAGAAAAAGGTAAATTTTTACTTTCACTCCCGCACACAGATGCACTGTTTCAGGGGTCAAACTGCTGTACTGTTTGCTGCAGATCACACATAAAGCCACCAAAACTGTCGCAAATCAATTATTTTCAAGACAATTTCAAATCTAACTGTAAAATATCAAATTATGGGTGTAAAAACAGGGGGGCATGCCCCCCTGTAACCCCCCAGATTTTCTTTTACCCCAGTGGGGCAGGCCCCCCTGGAACCCCCCCCCCCCCCCCCCCCCACCCTCGGGAATTTTTCAGAGGCGGCTGTTGCCTGCGGAAAAAAACCGAAATATTTTCAAAAATGAAGTTGATATTCGTGTTCAGCGCATCAATATTTAGTAGAAAATAGACAACTGGTAGCTGAGTGTGAGACGGGAGGGAAAGTAAAAAAATACCCAGAAAAATTGTAGAATTCTGTGCCGTGAACAAACGTTCCATTACAACTGTAACCTACTAAAAGCGTACAATTTTGTCTGTGGGCAGTGGAGAGAGAGAAAGAGAGAGAGAGAGAGAGGAGTAGCGCGAGAACTTCCGGTCAAAACAAGCTAACGAGCCATCTTTAATTGCTTCTGATGACTTCTTGACAAATAAACATTTATTAGAAACGCTCTAACTTTTCAGGCTGGCCTCAAATTCGTCATAAGATAAAAACTCGGCTCCGGCACAATTTAACGCCATTTTGCCCGAAGTGATCCCGGTCTCTACCCAGCCTGAGGCAAGTGAGGCAGGACAGGAAGCTGGAGTCACGAGTCACAGGAAGTCGGAAGTGATGTCATGGTGGACAAGAATCAGAGTCCGAATAACATTTTTTCATATTCGGAATAGTCTGTCTTAGACGGCCACCTTAGTGACTCCATTACGTTTTGTCATAAATTGTGCATTGGCCCCTGGTGTTGTGGACGAGTCGTCATAATTTAACTCATCCGCTACCTATTATTTTCGGCTTGTGGACGAATTTTTTTTCGGGAGGGCGAAAGAGATCAATGACTAGTGGGCAGTTAAAAGGTCTTTGGGGCAACAAATTCAAATAAATATCAACGTATTATATACCAATGTTTTCAGTATGGTTTGTAGAATACATTTGTAATGTTTATTTATGTATTTTTCAACTTTGGTTCCCGTAAGAGACGATTATGGAACACAATTTTGATTGGATGCGGAGAAAATTTGAAAATAAAACATTTATAATCTTTCGTGAAACTCAAAAAATAAGTTTGCGCCTAGTCAAATGATACATCAAAATAACCATAAATAAATACAGAACTGGAAAATATTGAAAAGTTTGCAGTTATTTACCTACATTCCATAATATTTGTACATTTTGAACACAACATCCGATATTGAAAAAAATATTAAATTTTTTATAATCTTGAAAAACGATCACCAACAGAAAAAACCCACCCGTATCTTATATGGAATTATTCAGAATTGCATTTGGAATAAACCTATACATGTCTTGAGTGGCACTTCTTGTGTAATTTCATCAAAAAGTAGTGATTTTGGGGAGAAAAAAATATTCTGACAATTTAGATCTAGACCTAGATCAAGCACTCAAAAATATTGATTTCTCGATAACAGTGCATTGGCAATATGAGTCCAATCGTATCAATATTATAGAAAAGAGTCCTACATTTCTTTAGTGGGTGAAATAATGATAGATTTTGTTGTGTAAAATTACTAAGACTGGTGTCTGGGCTATAATTTTAGCATCGCGATAAAACAAAGTCAAATAAACTACGAAATCGCGTTTCGAAACTGAATCTAAATTTCCGATTTTCAGTGGAAATGCTTGACCCGGAAGTCAGCATTATATTATGACCTTTATTTTAACATGGATATGTGGACTGGAATAGAATCTAAGCTAAAATTGAAGATTGGTTCTCGAGCCGCCGGGGGCGGCTTAGCGTACTGACGGCACTTTAGCCGCGCCGCCTCCCACGGCTCGGCGTAGCGAATGAGTTAAAAACCTGTCGTTGTTAGGTAGTCCCTCCAACTGATCATGTTGCGTAGGCCCCTCCCACTGTTGACCAATAGGTAACAAAATTAATTTTCAGCTGCTGGGGAATGGGGAGGGAAGCGTGTGATCCCTCATAAACCATAAGCCCTGCCCAGAACCCATACACAAATTATCGCAAGTGAGATGAGTGGTCACTGTTTACCCAGTCTGTAACAAAGTAACAATGGACATCAGCATGAACTTGTGACAGAAGCGTTGCTTGTTCTCCGAGTGGTAGTACGTGTGTTTGTTTCACCATAGCACTTGGTCCTCCTTGTCTGACACATTTTGTTTTATTGTCACCTGTACACAAAAGCAGCAACAAAAGAAAAGAAAACCCAGCCTGGGGTCCAATCTGCTGCAGAAGAGGAACAGTAAGGAGACGCAGGATTTCCTCCGCCTACTTTGCCGTGGTAAAACTGCCCTATATGGGGGTCCTGTGGTGAGCTGAGAAGCCTCCCCACTCCAGAACAGACCCTACACCCTAGGGCGCCACCTGCTGGATGCAGTCAGGGTGGAACCGCTCTCCTCGGAGCCTACAGTCGTGGGTTCACCTGTCTGGGTGCAGCAAGTTGAATCTGGATTCGTCTGAGAAGACTACCTGGTCCCACTGACGTCGTGTCCACTATGAATGGCAGGCAGACCACGCCCGGTGAGCTGTTTTGTGGGCCGGCATGTGCCTTGGGTGCCTGGCATGGACACCAGTAGCAAACCTGGCTCTACGGAGACAGTTCCTCACCATCTCCTCATCCACGTGGACATTGGCTGTCTCCCGTAGTTGGTCCCTGGTGCGGTCTGCAATGGTGGTTCGTGACTTCACGGCCTATCTGACGATGAGCCGGTCGATGCTGTCGTTGGTCAAATGGGGCCTCCCTGGTCGAGGCCTGTCCTGGACCCTTCCAGTCGCTCGCCATCATTCTTGCAGCCTCCACATGACTGACGGGGACACCCCAAGTGGACGTGTAAAGACTCGGAACGTGGAGCTATCTTGGAGCCAGGCAAGGGCTCGTCCTCTGTCAACATCAGGCAGCGAACGTCGTTGACCATCGTGTTGTAATGAAACATGGCTGAAAAACACTGGCTTATAAAATAGGGTTATCAAGTGAGCGATGTCCACAGCCGAGACATCTGTTTAACACATGCTAAGCTCAGTTTTAGCCCCCAATCCCTGTGCCAATATGTTACTGAGGCGGAGAAATTTCACCCACTTTAGATTCTTTTCGGCTGTGTTTCGGCATGCCCTGTGCCGTCACTATGAGGCTCGTGCGGGCAAATTTGCTGTTTTCTCTATACGCTCATATGAGTAGTACTGCGTTTTTGACTAGATCTAGTTCAAACTGTACAGTATTTTATGGTTTTTAAACTCCTGCTTTTTCACCACTCTTCTCAGGGTGATGATATCTGCCCATTTTAACTTTATTAAGGTAAGTTAGGTCTACTGCTGACACCTAATTGTAAAGACTGAGCCTCAAATTTTCACATCCTGTTCTTACATTAGATGTGCACATTTATGAAGGCATCTGGTGACCAGATGATCATATCAAAAATAGCTCAAAAGACATTCAGGGGCTGGGAAGCGCATGGTCTTAGGATCATCATGGCCTCATTTGGAACTAAGAAAGAACTCGAGGTAAGAGATGGTAGGAAGAAGGTCATTAACATGAACATCCTACAAGTGTATGCTCCAACCAATGATCCAGAAGTGGAGAATAAAGACGACTTCTACAACCGCCTGCAGAACGTCATCGACAAACTTCCAGGTAAAGACATCAACATTGTCATGGGAGATCTAAATGCAAAGGTAGGTTCGGACAATAGTCACAATGAGGAAATCATGGGCAGACACGGGTTAAGAGAGGCAAATGACAGCGGAGAAAGGTTCGAAAACTTCTGTACATTCAACAACTTGGTCATTGGAGGTACAATCTTCCCACATAAAAGGATTCACAAGGCCACTTGGGTCTCCCCGGACGGAACAACGGAAAACCAGATTGACCACTTTTGCATCTCCCGAAAGTTTAGACGCTCACTGGAGGACGTCCGAGTCTTACGAGGAGCAGACGTCGCATCAGATCACCATTTGATCCTTGGAAAGATGAAACTAAAACTGAGAAGATATGCACAAGTCGCCGCTGGAAATCATCTAAAGTATGAGAAGAACAGATTTCAAGCCCTTCAAGATCTGGATGAATGTGAAGTCAACGACTTGATAAGATAAGAGAGGCAGTAAATGCAACTTGCCAGAGCACCCTAGGACCCAAAGACAACACCAGGGATGAATGGATTTCACAGGACTCTCAAGAAAAAGTCAAAAGAAGAAGAGAGCTGAAGGCCTAAGTCAACAACAGCCATACCCGAACTGAGAAACTCGCTGCACAACAAGAGTACACTGAAGTAAACCGGGAGGTAAAAAATTCCATCAAGAAGGACAAGAATACCTACCTGAATGGCCTGGCCGAAAAGGCAGAGAAAGCAGCAACAGACGGGCACTTGAGGATTGTTCACCAGACTACAAGAACTCTTTCAGGTAGGTTCAGCAAGCCCACTCTACCAGTGAAAGACAAAGAAGGAAAGACTATCTTCCACCCAGAGGGGCAACTTAACCGATGGAGAGAACACTTTGATCAACTATTGAACAGACCACCTCCAGAAAACCAACCAGAAATTCTTCCAGCCAGAAATGACCTCCCAATAGTCACGGAACCACCTTCAAGAGAGGAAATTGCAGCCGCTATAAAAACACTGAAGTCCCACAAGGCAGCTGGTCCCGACCATATACCACCGGAAGCCCTTGAGGCAGAGAAAGATAGGTTTGTGGAAATTCTCTATGCTCTATTTGAAAAAGTTTGGCAAAAGGAGGAAATACCATCAGACTGGAAGGAAGGCCACCTAATCAAGCTGCCAAAGAAAGGAGACCTCAGCAACTGTAACAACTACAGAGGCATTACACTCCTTTCCATACCTGAGAAAGTCTTCAACAGGATACTCCTGGAGAGAATCAAGCTGGCAACAGATGAGAAGCTTCGAGGAAACCAAGCAGGATTCCGCAAAAACTGATCATATGTGGACCAGATCGCTACTCTGCGTATCATTGTTGAGGAATCGCTTGAATGGAATTCACCACTCGTGGTCAACTTCATTGACTATGAAAAGGCGTTTGACAGCGTGGACAGGGAAACTCTGTGGAAACTCATGCGGCATTTTGGAATACCTGAGAAATCATTAAGTTTGTGAAGGCCACCTATGATGGAACAAGCTGCCAAGTCTTCCACAAAGGACAACTCTCAGAACCATTCCGGGTACAGACAGGAGTGCGACAAGGATACAGTCAAACCTGTGTAAGACGGCCACCCATTGTCAAGGAGAAAAGTGGCCGTATAAGACAGGTGGCCATCTTAGGCAGGACTGAACAAGATGAAGAAAACAAACCATTCCCATCTGAAGTCCCAATCGAAAGTAGCCGCATTGTTGTTGTTTTTGTTGGTGGTGGTGGTTGTTGTTGGTTTGTATTTTGTTTGTAATTTTTATTTGTTGAATATATATAAATATATAGTGTAAAGTGCATAGAGCCTGCTGTTGAGCGGGGATATGCGCTATACAAATGCTATCTATTATTATTATTATTTATTTGTTGCTGATTTGCACAAGGGTGACAGTAAAACGAAATGTATCAGGCGAGGAAGACCGAGTGCCATGTTAAAACAAACACATGGGTCGCCACCACTTGGAGAACGAGAGACGCTTCTGTCACAAGTTCATGTTGACGTCCTTTGTTACTTTGTTACAGACTGGGTAAACAGTGACCACTCATCTCACTTACGATTAGTGTAAGAGTTCTGGGCGGGGCTTATGGGTTATGAGGGATCACACGTTTACCTCACCAACAACTGAAAATTAGTAGCTATTGGTCAACAGTGGGAGGGGCCTACGCAACATGATCAGTTGGAGGGACTACCTAACAACAACGACAAGTGATTTAATTATGACGGCTCGCCCACAACGCCAGGAGCCAATGCACAATTTATGACAAAACGTAATGGAGTCACAAAGGTGGCCGTCTAAGACAGGTATTATTGCTTAGTGTGATAGGGGTTGTGTGTTAAATTATGGTGGCCGCGGCCACGTTGGACAGGTGCCCGTTTTACACAGTTAAATTATATAGAAAAAAAACGCAAAGGGGGAAATGGAAAGTGGCCGTTTGTGCAGGTGACCGTCTTATGGAGGTGGCCCGTCAGGGCAGGTTTGACTGTACTTGCTCTCACCTTTTCTCTTCATACTGGCAATTGACTGGGTCATGAAAGAAGCCACCAGAGGCAAACGTAATGGAATACAATGGATCCCTTGGCAGCAGCTGGACGACTTAGACTTCGCCGATGACTTTGCACTACCTCTCACACACATGCTCAGATGCAAGAAAAGACCGAGGAACTCAACAGCCTATCAAGGAGTGTTGGCCTACGTATACATCCAGGCAAGTCAAAAGTAGTGAAGCTAGGAAAAGTTTCAAGTCTGGAAAGCAAGCAACATCTCACTGCGCACCAAGATTCGACTTTTTAACTCCAACGTCAAGTCTGTGCTCCTCTACAGCTGCGAAACTTGGAAGACAACGAAAACAGTACTGAATAAAGTCCAGACTTTCATCAACAGATGTATGAAGAGTATTCTAAGAATTAAGTGGCAGGATAGAATAAGAAATGAAGAGCTGTGGGAAAGGACAGGACAAAAGGATATAGAAGTAGAAATAGGACTAAGAAAGTGGCGATGGATGGGACACACCAGAAAGCCCAGCGGAAACATCACAAGACAGTCACTGCAGTGGAAACCACAAGGAGCACGAGGCAGGGGTAGGCCACGGGAAACATGGAGAAGATGCGTGGAAAGGGACATGAGAGAAATGAAGCTCACTTGGAACGAGCTTGGAAGGATGGCTCAGGACAGAGATAAATGGAAGGAGCTTGTATGTGGCCTATACCCTGCCAGGGGTGAAAGGCATTGATTGATTGATGACATGTAATTCTAAACAAAGGTGTACCAAATTGTACTTTTTCAAACTTATTGATAGAGATCATGTGAAAATATTGTCCCTAGAGTGTTTGTTTTTGATATAGCGTAATTTCTATTTTCACTGACCTGAGCACACACATATTATTATATGTTTTCAGACACAGCTGATTGTCCTGGTAGAACACTCTTTCTCAACTGGGTGAAGAGTTTGGCTGAAAGGTTGGTAAAAGAGACAGTTTTATGATTTTCTTTTATTTTTATTGTTTGATTTGTGTCAAATATCTAAGCACTAGCCTTTATGTAAATCTTGTCAAGTGGGACTGTAATGTTTTGTAGTTCAAAAGTCTGCTAATATTTCAACACAACTTTTTTTCTGTCCTTAGACTTCTTTTATTTTGTGATTTATTTTCTGTTGTACCTGATGTATTTATATGGCTCAACTGAATAGGAGTTTCTGTGACATGCTGTATCATTTCAAGAAAATGGAATAATGAGGAACAAGCCCCTTTGTTCTTAATACAGTGTATCAAAGTAAACTATGTAAAACTCTCCACCATTCTAAGCTTGCTGAGTGATTGTTTGCAAACTACCCCATTTATAACTATATTTTTTTATGCTCCTTTATGTTATGTCCTTGTACCTTTCCTTTCTGTGGTAGCATAGTATAATTTATACTCATGTATATGGTAATATGAAGGGTTGTAACTGGTTACAATATATGAGGTCATCTGAGCTTGAAAACTGAATGTAGATCTAGCTGCTGGCTGAGAAAGTTGCTGAAAAAGTAAACAAAAATTTAAATTATGAAGATGATAAAAAAAACCTGTAAAGAATTGCTAAATTTTTTCTTCGTGAGCTTTTGTATTGGAATAAGGAGAGACCCTGAGGAGAATGTAATTTTTTTTATGTCATATTTTTGTTCTCAGACTTGATCGTCTCATTCTCATCTGCTTTGAACGCCAACCTGAATTCTTCAAAAGCTGGCTTCCGCTAGGTCTCCAAAACAGGTCAGATATTATGGTGTACATTCCAGAAATTTAGCAAAGTGATAAATTTAAGAAAGGTAAAAAAAACTCCCCTGTGTTGTTTTCATGTTAGTAACGTGGGTTTTTTTTTCGAAGGCTGCATTATTCTCATGGCCTACATGCTAAAAGGCCATGTGTGCCAAAGAAGATATACACAATACCTTCAGGAACTATGAGGCCTTTAAACTTGTCACAAGAGGCTTTGGCCACCACTTGGGCGAAATTGAAAATTACTTCCTACCAAAATTGAAAATACCCTATTCTGTATTTAAAAAATCAAATAGAGTACAGTCGAACCTGTGTAAGACGGAATCGCAAGGGAGCCAGAAAAAAATTCCATCTTAGACATTTTCCGTCTTAGACGGGAATTTAGTGGGGGAGATGGGGGGGGGGGTTCAAAGGCCCAGCCGGTGGGATCAAGGATTGCTTGTCCGATCAGCAAGCAACGGTCAAAACTTCACACCTCTCAACTGCTAGCCTGTCTGATAATGACATGCGTCACTCTTACTTGTCCAATCACCACCAGTGCTTGCCATTAATAGGACCACTGTTTAACCTATTAAAAACAGACAAGTTTGAACATGATCTCCTTTGCTTCCACCCTTAGCCCCACCCATCGGAGTAACAAGCTCTGTCAACCAATGCCACCCCTCACTGCAATCATATACCAACGATTCGAGGAACTCTTTTCTCGGCTGGCATACAATCAGGTTGGCAGGCATTGGTCAAACTAATTTCACACCTCTGGCTTCTGGCTACCCAGGAAAGTTTCCGTAGTGGCTCGTTATTCGAGCACTCTCATGAGCAGTCGTGAGATTTCACACCCTCACTATCCTGACCATCTGCATCCCCCTGGGCTCACATGATAGGGTAACATCTACCCCCCAATTGCACCCCTACTCCCCCTTCCTCGACCAGCGGCATGGCCTTAGTTTAGAGCCGGCTGAACAAAACTTGCGAGTTTTGTTTCAAATCAGGGCTGAGCGGGCAAAGCATTTTCCCTCTTCGTAGACTTGTGAAACCCTTGGAAGGGAGCAGATTTTTCTTTCCATTTCCGCGTTGGACAGGTTTCCATTTTATACAAGTTATTAAAGAGGAATATATCAAGATGGGAGCGGGGAGATTCCGTTAAGACATGTTTCCGTTTTATAAAGGTTTCCATTAAGGCAGGTTCGACTGTACCTTCAAAATTGGAATGCGGTTACCTGTGGGGCCCTACAAAGTAGGCAAGGACAGCCACGTATGTAAAAATCAGTTGTACTGCAGGTTTAAGAACAGGCAGTTGACTGCCCCTGAGATCAAGCTTCAGAATGCAAAGAAGAAGAAGTGTATGTCCTGTGTTCAGTTAGGATACTGTAAACCTGTTTGTTATTTCCCCTCTCTGCTCACCAGGATAACATTTGTAGATGGTCAGAGTATTACCTGTGATTTTGAGCTAAAGAACCAGGATCTGTTCAAGGTGACGACTGCTGCTGTGCCTGAGTTCAAAGGTCAGACGGGGGTGCTGATTGACTCACTGTCTCTTCACATATTGTTCCAGCAGACTCCAGCAGTTTGCTCAGCCCTTCACAGACTGGCTTCAGGTTTGTAATATGTGAGGCATTGTGGTGACATCAGGCGCTCTTCAAAATAATAAAAATCGAAGACACCGGCATGTTTCTTCCCATTTGGCAATTTTAAAAGCTCAACAAATGTAAATTTACAGTTTCCAAGGACTCTCAAGCTTTGCAATTCATCAAACTTCGGCTTCCATTTTCTTTCTAATTTTGCCTCTGAAACCAGGTAACCCCTACCTCCTTCATTCGGAAATATCTCGACTTCTATTGAAGACTGGTGGGTAAGCAAGATAAATGAACATGTTTTAAGATGATGCCAATAACTCCATGTGCCCAAAAATTGAAGCGAGGCTATTTCCACAGCATCATGACACATGGTTATTGTACTTACTTATTTTTAAACTTTTTTCTGTCCTCTTATGGATATGCTTTTGTCGTGATATGGGCCAGGTGTGCTGCTATTTGGATTGTCATTTTGTTCCTTTAAAGGATCTCTTTGACTCTGTCGACCCATCTTTTTCTTTGTCTTCTTTGAAACTATAGAATCATATATTGTAAGCCTTTGAGCCTGGCTGTTGTGTCCCCATTTTCATTACATCAAACCACCTTATTTGCTGTCTCTCGATGTATTTGATGCCTGATTCGATGCTCACTAGATGTCTGATGTCACCAATTCTTTGTCTTTCCCTTCTCATAATGTTGAATGTTTTTCTAAGACATTGTTAAAACAAATTAGAATATATATTAACTAAAATCTCAACTCCTAACGCTCTTTTAGATCCTTTTTTGGGGGGTTTGGAAACGGAATTTTTACTTCATATAATCTTCCCCTTTAATTCCTATGACATGGAATGTGTGAATGTGCTACCTTTGTCCTTCTGCTCTCCATACTGTGGTGGAGAATCTAACAGCTGACCCTTGGGAGCTCAGTGGCACTGGTTTCTTTAGGCTTTTGGGATGAGGGCTCAAAGAGTAGGTCCCAGTTTTATGGCTCAAAATTGGCTACAATCCTACTTTACTCAAAACATAATCCTAACAAATTATTTTTTGGACCCACAATTGTATATGATGATGAATATTTTTCAAGACTTGTATGTAAAAAGTGTTTGTTTGGTTGTTGTTTTTTTTATTTATGTTGAATCTATGTGTAACTTGCAAAGTTTCCTCGTGGATTTGTCTGTTCTTCAGATAAGAGATTTTCACAAGTTGTGGCTGTACTGCATCGAGATGTACACGATCCCCACACTTGTAGCTTGATGGAGCATGTAGCGTCCAGTGTAATCTCATTGCGGAATGTCCACTCTGGAAAACACATCTGTCACGTCAGGCACTGTCGCCCAACAGGGAAGGTTTTCAGAACTGTGAGTATCTTACATTTTTTCAGGCTTTCATTCTCTTAAAATGAAGTTTTAATGCCATGTCTTATTCATACATATTTGATACTATGTGTGTTAGGCACAAACCCTTTTAACCTGAAATTTTGAGGGGGGAAAAGTATCAAAGGGAAGAACTTAGTTGGGTGTGGCTGACTGAAATAGCGCAGTCATATTTTGATAATTTGGAAACATTCATATACAATAGATTCTATACTATATGTGGCATCATGTGGAATAAATAATGACATTGCAGAAACTCACATTTTTCTGCCTATTAGCAATGATAGTACATAACAAGATGGGCCACTTCTCTCTTTGAGCCAATTAAAAAAGTGTCCTCAAAATTTGGTGGCGCCCTCTTCACAAAAGCGCACTCTTTGCGAACAGAGTTACCCTACTTGAGTTTTTAAAAATCAAAATGAAACTAGCAAGTTTTGGCATAAATTTCGGAAGAACGCTTTTTTAAAATGGTTACGCTGACAAAAAACCTCTTCCGGAGGAAAAGGTGATGGTTTTCTTCGTTTAATTTGACTTTAGAATGAAAGGCGAGAGGTCATTAAAATTTTAAAAAACCTAAAACTACGCACTGAACGTACCCGAACTGCTGATGAACAGCAGTCGATCTGCGCACGCAAGGAGGTGCTATTCCTATTCTTCTTCTGGAAAAACGAAAGAGAGCTTCAAAACAGACCGCAGCGCCATCTGAAGCAAAGAGCGGACTTCCTGCGGACACTTTTTTGGCTGAGTGAACCATCTTGTTATTCACTATCTTTGGCTGAGTGAACCATCTTGTTATTCACTATCTTTGGCTGAGTGAACCATCTTGTTATTCACTATCTTTGCTATTAGGCAATTTGTAAAGATTGTATTTTTCTGGCCTAACACTTTTGATGTCCATTTCGTAAAGCATTTCTTTGTCCATTTCGTAAAGCATTTCTTTGTCCATTTCGTAAAGCATTTCTTTGTGAATTTTACTGAAAAACACTGATCAAAGGTACAAAAATGTAAAGTTGCAGTTTCCAAGGACTGTCAAGTTTTGGAAGTCACCAGAGTTTGGCGGACATTTTCTCGCCAGTTTTTTCTCTGACATCAGGTGACCCCACTACTTACTTCAATTAATTTCTATTCAAAATAAGCGGATATTTTTTTTTAATGAAAAGCAAGACAAGTAAACATGCTTTGAGCTGATATCAGTAACTCCATATGCTTAAAAAATGATGAGTGCCTAAATTCAGTGCTTTGTGGCACATCTATAGACCAGTGTGGGCTCTGTAATTACCCTGTTCAGCTGAGACCTGAGTTGTAAGTTATGGTGTGTCAACATTTCACCGGGACACCAAAAGAAGTAAAGTACACCAAAAAGAAGAGCAGTCGTACTGCTCTAACGACTACCTGTTCAAGACAATTACCTATACAAACGACCAGTTCCAACTTTCCGCTTGCATTTTTTTTCTCTCTATCTATATATATAACAATAACACTGTACAAAATATCCTCCTGCCTAAGACAGCATTTTAAATTTTTTTTTTTGCGGTAATGGGGGGGCCATCGTGGACAATTTTGAATATATTGTATAGTAGATACAGACCTCTCCTAAACACCATTAATAGCTTTGCTCAGCCATGAGCATGTATGTTAATTAATAAGCTTCATCAAAGTACTTCTTCCTTTCCAGGTGGAGTCCTTTACAGTAGATGACAGCTTTCACATACGCAACTTGAAACCACATCAGTCTGCTTCTGAAAATGTAACACTTTCTCAAGTTACTCCTGAGGTACGAGTTCTATCTTTGGGAATGAAATGATTGCCAGGCAATACGAGAATGTTAAAATCATATTACTTATCTATATAATCAAACCTGCTATAAAGACCATCTGTTCAAGACTAATAAACCTGTGCAAATGACTACTTTTCACTCCCTCCACCCCTCCCATTTCCCATCTCGCAGTGTTTCTTTATTAAAATGACACTGTCAAGAAACCACCAGTCCAAGATGATCACTTTCCTCCTTGACAAAAGGAAATCGTCTTACGCTGGTTTGAAAGTATTTTTTATGGTCCTGATTGTATGTATTAAGAGGGGGTTGCTGTTTTTTCAGTGAAGACAAAAAAATCTATATTTTCTAAGCTAAGACTTCAATTCACACTTTGCTTCCTTTTGGCAATCATGTGTACATGATAAAAAAAAAGTACAGAGATGGAGACAAAATTGCTTGCTACATTTTTGAAGTCTTTATGCAGATAAAAATCAACTTCAAGTCCCCACTTAAAATAAGATAATAATAAAAGTGACTTTCAAGCATGACATCACAACAACCCACAGATCTCTATACTCTTTTTCATGGCTACACTTTTTTTTTCATTTCACACAAAATAAGAGTATTTTTCAGGCCTGGACTTACGAGCTGAAGTCCTCCAGTGGTGCATTGGGAGAGGGCATGAAGAAAATCGTCATGCTCATAAAATAAATGTCTAAGCCATTTTTAGCTTTTTTGAGAAAACATTTTTTTAAAACTGTTACTTTGGAACAATTGACTCTGTGAAACGCTTGAATTTTGGTACCCTCAGTTGATTTTATGTTTGGATTATTCTTTTGTCCAAGTGAACCATATCACCAAGCTGGCTCTGCTCTTCGTTTCAGAACCATAAACTCCAAACCTTCCATAAATTTCTTAGGCCATTATCTTATGCCAACAGTTTTGGAGTTACTCCCTCTTTTAGGGGGTCTGCTGACTATGTTTATAATTGTGAATGTTTTTACGGCCACATTGATGAAATTTAAATCACTTATGGGGTGAGTTTCTGCAAGTGTGGCCTGTCAGGATCGACCTTGGCTGAGTGGAATGCAGCATTCTAGCAGATAGTCAGGGATGCTCGGTAAAATAGCTTCTACATTCGAGAATCCACCTCACATCTTGTGTGTGCAATGATGAAGGGCTTAACCATTACACCACAGACAGGGATGGACTTTATTTATTTCTCTACCCACTTTAGATTACATTGTCTAGGTTAACGAGTGATGTAATTGGGAGGAGCGAAATGGCAAAGAAAAGGCAGAACGCACTACAGAGTTGATCAAATTAGTCACAGTCAAATTCTGCTACATTCATTTTCCTGGATGTGGAACCTGAAAAAAATCTTGGTGGAAGTGACTACCATTTGAATCTTTCTTTTTTTTTTCTTGTTGTGTAGCAGTAATACTATATATTTTGAATTCTCTAGGCGGATCCCATTAGTCAGCTGTCTTTCAACCTGTCTCTAACGGAAACAGAAAAGGTTGCCCGAAGTCAAGTGAAACTGCCACATTTGAAGACTGGGTAATGTATTCATATTTAGGACCATTTTAAAAAACGAATCTAGAACCTGTTTTTGAGGTTTATTACTATTACTTTCAAAATGTACCTGTCATATATAATCATTTAACTGAACAGTTGTTTTGAGTCCTTGATGTTTTTTTAGTTGTTGAAGAATGCGTCACTGTTGTTCATAACCCAACATTTCACAATCTAAGCTAGGCAGTTTTGAAATCAGGATCATGATGAAATCTGGGACTTAACCTACCGAAATAATGAAATTGAAGATCCTGACTTTTTCGGAACTATCAAATATTTTTTGGGGTTCAACACCTTTTTATGTCCATTTAAAAACACATTTCTGTGTGGATGTTACTGAAAAAACATTGATCAAAGACACACCAAAAAATGTTAGTTTATAGTTTCCAAGGAAACTTAAACTTTGAAAGTCACCAAACTTTGGCGGCCCTTTTCTCGCAAAATTTTTCTAACACCAGGTAACCCACCTCCTTCAATCACAGAAACCTCCATTTCTATTCAAGACAGATGGATTTTTTTTAAAAATCAAAAGCAAAACAAATGAACAAGCTTTAAAATGATACCAACAGCTTCATATGTCCAAAAAATTGATGAGTGCCTAATTTCACGCTGCATCACATTTTGCTCAGTATCAGATATCTTACAATTTTTATTTTTTCTAAATTTGGGCTACCACCTCCCTCTACCAACCTTCCCTGTGTATAAAGAGAAAAATTACCAGACCCGGACAGTCTGGGGCACTTATTTATACTGAGAAGACCCGAAAAGACACCCCAAAAAACCCCAAAAGACCCCAAAAGGCAGCCGAAAAGACACAAATAGACAGCCGAAAAGACCCAAGAAGACAGCCGAAAAGACCCGAGAAGACCCGAGAAAACCAAAAAAGACACGAAAAGACACTAAATGACCCGAAAAGACATACATGATTTATTTATTTGTTGTTTATTTATTGCTACTGGTTGCAAAAATAAGCAACTTAATATAGCCACATGGAAATGTGAGAACAATGTACCAGAAAGGCAAATTAGATAGTATAGAGCAGGAAATGGACAGGATGAAGCTAAATATGTTAGGCCTTTCAGAAGTTAGATGGGAGGGGGCAGGCTCGATTAGAAGAGGATCCAAAACAATTATATATTCAGGAGGAAAAACCCATGAAAGAGGAGTCGGAATTTTATTTGACGAAGCAACAGCAAAGAGCATCAAAGGTTTTTGGGGAGTTTCAGACAGAGTCATAATGGCTAAATTAGAGGGAAAACCTTCTGACATAGGTGTCATCCAAATATATACACCAACATCAGAGCACGACAACGAGGAAATTGAGACTTTTTATGAAAACCTTGATAAGGCGATGAAACAGTTAAAATCACAAGATGTAAAGGTAGTCATAGGAGACTTTAATGCCAAAGTAGGAAGTACACGTATAGAAGATATAGTTGGGCCATGGGGACTGGGTAGAGAGAATGAACGTGGGGAACGACTGGTAGAATGGTGTAGAGAAAATAATTTTATGATCTCAAACACCTGGTATGAAAATCTCACAAGAAGACGATACACTTGGAAGAGTCCTGGCGATAGAAGTGAAAATCAAATAGACTTCATACTTATTCAGAAACGTTTTAGAAATACAATAAAATTATCTAAATCACTGCCAGGAGTGGACTGTGATAGTGACCATGTACCAGTCATCAACTGTCTTTTCGGGTCTTTTCGGGTTTTCTCAGTATAAATGAGTGCCGACGGTCTGTGTCACAACATCACATACAGTTAACTGTAACAGCATAAACACACGCTCTGCATTGAGCCCTTTTAGTTGTAATTGTACAGTGCCACTTTGCCCTAAGAAAAACATTAGACTTTAGAAGTGCCAAAGCCAGGAGTAAGGAAAACTTTGGGTTGACAAGGTGTTAGAAAATCTTTTCCCTGTTTTGTTGTGGGTGACAGCCTAGGTCAATGAGATAATGGTTTTTTTTTAGTGAATCTTTGTTTGAACTTTGAAACAATTAGTTAAGGTGAGTGCATGGCAAATGGCCATATTTCTCATTTTTAATCCAGATTACTTTTTTGGGTGGTTGATTGCCAAAACGTCTGCTGGTGGGTAGGCAGCCCTGTTTATATTTTTATCGTCACGGTGGCCTAAAAAAAGTAAAGTTATTTCTGCATCCGATCCGGACATTGGGGATTACCTTGTTAGTGAGACAACTTCCTGGGCCTTCGACATTTTGTGGTAGGGTGACCTACATTCAGAATGTAATGAGTTTTTATGTGTGGGTTTCTCCTTTTTCTTTCTTTTTTTTCTTTCAACAAATTGTATTTGATCATTTGTTCTTTGTTCTTGCCTTATACTGTAATAGATTATAATAGTACTTATAATACTGTGAACCTCCCTCAACTCAAAGAACACAAGTGCACTTTGGATTAAAAGCCCATGCATGCACATGCGGTGTCAGTGGCCTAGACCTCTGACTCAACTGCAAGGTCATGGCTTCAAATCCTGTCAAGGGCCCAGTTTTGTGTCCTTGGGAAAAATACAACACAAATTTTCCTTGAGCATGTAACCCGCTGCATGCACAGTGTGCTTCCAGACTGCCTGAGAAGCTGAAAATATTTCCGAGTCGTGTTCTAGGGTCTGCTGGGGTATGAATGGTTGTAAAGCTCATAGACCATGCTGTAGAGAGATCGGCGACCTCCAACCTTTAGGCTTGTTTTGGCGTAATAAGCATTTCGGTCTAATGCAATGCCCCTCTACTAATTTATTATATAATGTCCAGGCTAATAACCTTGACTGCGACTATCATGTACATTGTGTCATTCATAGCAATAAGACAGTCCCTGACTGGTTTTTGAGCAGAGACCAAAGTATGCTTCTATGATGAGATGCCAATGCTACCGAAAGCTGACAAAATGCCCTTTTTTATTTTGACACTAATTTTTTTAATTTGCTAAATCGAAAGCCTGATAAGTTATCCTACCTATGTGAAAAAAATCAAACAAAAACTGTGACTCCTTTTTGAATAAATTAGAATCCAAATTTGAGAAGAACGCTATTTTAAAATGATTGCGCTGACAAAAAGTCTCTTTGTCTCGAAACTGCTGTAAGTTTTGTCAGCTTACAGCAAAATGCCCCTACCTGCATCACCCCACATCGTTAATCGCTTGTTTTAAAAGTTTGATTACACATACTCCCCAGATAATTGTTGCTAACGACCAAGGCAGGTTTTTTTTGTTTTTTTAAAAAAGTGTCAATTTGTATATTTCTTTATGTGTATGTATATCATTAACATTTGTCATTGCCTTTACAAGCTCTGCTTTTTTCAAACGATTCAAAGAAAGTCTATTCTTTGAGGGGGGGAGGGGGTGTTATCCGGCCATGGACAATTTCTGTGAGTTCAGATGTGGCCTTGTTGGCAGAAGAAGGTTGCCGACCCCTTCTTTAGAGGGTGAATATGGGCTATCTTAATGCATTAACATTGTTATTCCATAATAAAACTTTACTCTGAAAAAAAAATAATGGTGAAATGGTATGAGTTTAATGCCCTTATCACCATTATTAGGTTATTTAAGAGGCGGGACCTCCTAGTTTAACGTCCGTCTCCGATAGGACCAAGCCAAGTGGGAAGTTCGTGTAAAGTGTCTTTCCCAAGGACACGACGTCGGACCGAGCTGAGACTCGAACCCTCGAACCCGCAATCTCACGATTATGAGTCCAGTAGCCTAACCACTAGGCTACCGATGCCACAAAAACTTAACTCTCGGATATGAGAACTTCCTATACAAAAATGAGTATGAGTTTTAGTTTCATCAAGTTAAATCTTTACTAATGGGCAAGGTCAACTTTCCAAATCTTCAATTAAAATTTTTTTATTTTTAAAAAATGAGGCTTGCATTTGTGTTTCAGATTTGACGAAAGTAGTGAGGTTGACAGCACACTTCAGAGCAAGATACATTACGAGGCAGATGATGCTGATGACTTTGATGAAGAAGATCCTGATGATGACCTCAATATTTAATCATGTGTGAATGAAATATAAAAAAATAAAAAGATCATAACTATTTTCTGAGTTACTCTTTTTTCCTTATTAACCTGACTTATGCCTATGAAAACTGCCCTCATGTCTTGGGAAATGAAAATTGAGAAAACAGGTTCATGGTAAAACTAGGAATGAGCAAGGTGTTCTTTAAATTTCTCAAATATACTCTTCTAAAAAAGGTTAGGGAACACTTTGAGTTTAAATAAAAAGAGAGTGTAGTGACAAAAATAAGTCTGTGTTAAAAAAATAAAAATAATGTTAATATCCCCCCCTTTGGGAATGGCCTAAAGCCCGGCATTGGTTGAAACGGTCCTCCCTCACAGTGGTTGACCTGGGCCTCCCTGACCAACAGGGATCGTCAGTATTTCTGGTTTGTTGGTACCCGTCTTATTGTTGGGTGACAGCAAGACTCCTAGCCACCTCCCCCAATGAAACACCACCTTGGAGCCAACCAATGATGACCCTTCCTCTGTCGTGCGAATTCAACTTTATCCTAGGCGTACTGTGTGGCAATCAAATTTTCGAGCTATTGCCTGTCCTCGCGGTTTTATGCAAAACAAATTTTGAATTTATGCAAACAGCCCAAAAAAGTGAAATTATGCGATTCTGTTATTTTTAACAAAGAATGATAAAGGAAAATAATCTGAAATTATGCAAAAAATGATCAAATTATGCGGGGTGCATAAAACCCCGGGGACAGCATTGCACAGGCTTCTATGGTCATTGCGTGAGCATAGTGTTCACACAACATAATGATTGACTCTTTACATGCCTAAGACTCGGTATCATTTTTCTTTTACCATTTAAAAACAAGCAACTTTTTCATGAACCTTTTAACATGTGCCTCGTGTTCACAACTCAAGTTCGAAAATGTTTTCAAAGTTGTTAACAGTACACATAGTTGAATTGGCTGCTCAAATATAACAGGTTTCATTTCTAAATGCTAACATACATAAATGTCGCATGAAAAATGCATACATATTTAACGTTGTTCCCAAACTTTTTTCAAAGAGTATATCATGAGGAATGGCAGATTTTGTGTTTAGTTTTAGTAACAGTTATACATACAGCACTTGCAACAACACAATAAGGTCAGATAAGTGCTGAAGATTGTGCTAGAAGCACATTTTGGATCTTGCACTTGTAGTGAACACTAGAGCTAAATTTGGTTCATTAACATTTCCCTACTCACACATATAGACCGAACTCTGTCGTCAATCTGTCACTTATTATGTGTTGATTGATTTAGTTTAATGACATACTTCTCTTAAAATTGCTTCTTTTTTTTTTTTACTTTCCTCTTGTACTCAAGGGGAGAAAGCTTTTGGTCTCTGGCAAGCTGGATGGCCTGGCTGAGTGGAAAGTTGTGTGTCTTAAGGGTATTCTTCACACCGTCGATCCAGGTCTTCCTTTGTCTTCCTCTTGCCTTGGACCCTGATATTCTTTTGTAGTACGCTTTACTGGCAAGTTGGTGAGATGCCATACGTGTCAGATATCCATCCCACCAAATTGTTTGCCTCTGAATGCAGGGACGATAAGTGTTGTTCCCATCATTTCTCTGATCTTGGTGTTTCTGATCCTAAAATTGCATCTTCACAATATTTCTTCAATGACATATTCTGTGGGTACTGGAGCACTTTTTTCTCCCTTTCATTCATCATTATATGGAAAAGGAAGGCGTAAAAGATAATTGGGGAGGGGCAAGCTAGTCCAAAAAGGTATTGGAAAGGAAGTCTTAATATCAGAGTTACATGCTTCGAAGTTATGGGTAGGACATTGCAATATTATAAAAGGTATTTATTTTCCATGGCCAGCCTTGATTGGGGGTGTCTGTTTCTTCAGATCTGGCACTTGAAGAAATACTCAAAATGGGACTAACATTCATCTGCCAGAATTGGTCTCATTGGCAATAGAAGAAGTCACAAGTCCTCTTTACCCTTATTTCTTCTATTTTGCTTTTAATATATTCTTCTATGTAGAGGCATTGGTCATCATCAATAAAAGTCAAGCTATTGTTATATTATCACTTGGGGGAAAAAAACCCAGCTTCAAATGGGTTATAATATCACTTAGTGAACAAAAATCCAGTTTCAAATAGGTACTTGGAAATAGAAATAATTTCTAGTAAAATTTCAACCCTAGAAGGTAAAGTTGTTCCCGCATCCAATCCGGACATTGGGGATTGCCTTGCTAGTGAGACAACTTCTTGGGCCTTTAGCTTATTGTGGTAGGGTGACCAGTTCCTTTTCACGCTGCCTTTACTTCCCTAACTCGAAGTCAGGTACCCATGACTGCTGGGTAGGCAGGAGGGGGCAAAAAAAACATGTGTCCGAACGGAGGCTCGAACCCGGACTTTCCGCTTCAGAGACAAGTGCACTAACCTCTCCGCAACCGCATCATTTCCTAACTTAGGTAAAAACCTTAATTCAAATCTCATTTCAACAGACTGTGAGATATTTGTTTGGAATTCATGAGTAAAACAAATGTCATATTGCATCATACCAATTATTTTTAAAAAGAATACAACGTACCATAGTGTTTTGGGGAAGTATTTCTTTATTACAATTCAAAGAGCATTTGGGATTTCTTAGGTCCTTCAGAAATGTTTAAAAATTGTTCTTTGTTGTTGTTAAAACGAAAACTTGGACTTGTCATTCCGAGAGAGACAAAAGAAGTAAAAAGAATAATACATGACCTACAACAGAAGTTATTTTAAATACATTTTCAAAGCCAATTATACCTTAAAAGTGGCCCAGGGATGTCACTCGGATTTTGTGAAAATACCTGAAAATTTACAAAGTTGTAGTTGCAAACAAAAAGAGAGTGAACAAACATGAGATTAAACAGAAAATAAATGCTTAGAATAATAACTGTTCTTCTAGCGAAGATAACAGTAACAGGAAAAAAAACGGAAAAGCGGCATCCCTGGTAGAAAGCCAAGGAATATAGGGGAAACTGGGACAGAGACCATTACAAAGTTCAAGAGTTTCCATGTGATAGCAAGTGAGTATACTGTACTGAAAGTGAACTGTGTTATAGTTGAGGGAGGGGGTGGGGGGGGAGTCATATCTCAGAGAATGGAGAGAAGATGATCATGCACCATCTTCTCTCCACAAATCCATGGGAAGGACAGGAGCTGAGGAACTGACCGAAAAAAAAAGGGGGGAGGGGAACAAAAAGCATGGTAGGAGGAGAAGGCAGAGCAATAAGAGGCAGTGTATAAAATATGTACTTTACAGTATACAGTATTCATTTAAAAAATGGCTACAAGTACAAGAAAAAATAACATATTGGAAAAAAACAAACCAACAACAACAAACCCAAAGCATCCAAAAACCAAACCATGTGCTGGAAATCAACAGTGTACAGAATGACCAGTTTATGCAATATTGCTAGATATGGCAAAACTACAGGGAAAACAAGAGACAAGGGTATGCATATAATACATAAAAAATAATATTGCCTGTCTCTCATCAACATAAATTGCTCAGCCAAAAGCTGAGGACATCTCTCCATCCCCCCCACCCCCCTTATAAAATTATTTCATCATGACAGACAAGGCATGAGAACTATATGAGCCCCAATATTTGGGACCCACTACCTTAAACTCAAACTATTGGTAAGGGTCACCTTTTCAGTATATCTATTATTCTGTAGGGCTTTCATATCAAGAAGCCTTGCAAGAAAGTATTTAAGCTTATATCCTGGCCATCCCATCATTGTACGGTACAATGGGATAATATACAAAATGCAGTCTAGCACGCACAGCAATATAGGCTCATAGCCAACAGATTTTCAGATTCTGAAATTTTCCGTATATGTATATATATATATATATATAGATCTATATGTATTCTTTTAAAACATGTACATAGCGAAATTCGTACATGACAAAAAATGTTGCATCCCGCCAATTTCACGATGTGCATGTTTTTTAAAAGCAGATGATTCTGCATCCCTTTACACACAATTTAGATCGTTCAAATGGTGGGCTTCGACCCTGCCTGTCACAACCAACTTTGGTTGAGAGAGAGGAATGACACAAATTTTCCCGACAAGGCATTTGAACTCAAGGTCTTCTGCATCCAATGGTGAACCACCTAACAACTACACCCCAGACGTCAGTAATGGGATGTGTTAGTATTTCGTAATCATATATATAGATCTAACCCTCTTTGATTGCCATCTTTGAGCCCCAAAATATAAAATTTAACTCCCAATTGAAAATCATCAGTGTCTTTCCATACAACCCTAATCAATTTCTTGGGATTTCCAGATAAGGTCATTAACTGAAGAAACACTTCACGGGGCATCTTACAACATATTTTTGTTTTGTTTCATTACTTCTTTTCTGGTTTTTAATTGAAAAAATCACCAGTACTATAGGCTATAGTCATGGTTCTGATTTCTGATCAAGGCAATCTGCATGGAACTTAAAAAAAAAAAAAGGCTAACACACTTATGGAATGACAACAACAAAATGTGTGTGCCTGGAGAAAGGTCCCAGTTGTCGGCAAAGCTATTTATGAGCAAGAGGGTGGAAAGGCTAAGAAAGTCATACCATGTCAAAAATTTAGTTCCATAAGAAAACACATGTTTAACCATTTAATAAAAACATCTTGAAAGGATTTTATAATATTGTAAGTCTAAATATTGTTTCATTAGTTATTTTTGCAACATGTCGGTCTTCACCAAAGGTTAATAAGTTTTTTAAAAAGGGGGTTTTCTCCAAACTTTGTTTTTACACCTTGAGTTACAAAAAGTGGCATTTAAGCCCTTATTTCAATATTCAAAACATCTGACAACTGGGAGCTTTCTCCAGGTACATACACAAATAGTTTCAGTGTGTCAGGCATAGGCTGTGCTTTATGTGCTGGGAATTCCCACTGGGAGGATTTTCAGTGTTTAGTTAAGTAAGTCACCAGTGAACGAGTCAAGTTCTTTACTTTTAACTTTTTCATGTATATCAGCTCTGTGCAGTTAATTCCAAAATACTGAGCATATCTTTTAAAAAAAAGAAACCTGATACTCAGCCCTGACCCTTCCTCCATACATTACATCTGCCCAGTCCAATTCACATTTTTCTGTCTTAAAAATGTATCTAAATCGAAAACATAAGTAGGAGAAACCACAGCCAATTCTTGAATGTACCAGGTGTGTCTCATAATGCAGTTTCCCTTCTCTGTAACTTCAGAACCATTTTAACAAAAAGGCAGGAATTTTATGACGTTATAGAAATACGCACATTTGTAATCTCTGACCAAAAGTTGTTGTATCATCCTATTTTCATTTGAACTATAATTTTGTGTTGGCAAGTTCCCATTGGCACCACTGTAAAAAGTGAATACTTCAGATCAGTAATAAGACAAATTGAGTCCAGCCATTCGTTTGAAAAAATGAGACGGTAAGCTGGAATCTGTCTTGATCTCTCACGATGACAATGTAGGCCCTAGCTGTCCAATAAAAGGGTCTCTGAATTCTCAACAGCTATTTGTGGGATTTGCACCCTATTTGCCAGACTCAACCCCTAATGACTTTTTTATATTTTCTTTTTAACGGAAAGAAATGCTTCATGTTCTGAGATTTAAGGATGCACATGAGACTAAAGCTGGGTCTAAGAAAGGAGTAAGGGCCTTAAAGACTGGTTCATTTTTTCAAAAGCTGTGTGCATCGCTTGGGAAAATATGTATACCTTTATGGAGCATGAGTTGAATAGGTAATATCATAAAGATTTGTTTTTAATACTTCAGTTTTGATAAGTATATTTGTGAGCAATGTAACGCAGGGAAACTTCTTTATGAGATACACCTCGTATAACTATTACTGTACACATGTACATGTAAAGAAGAGGAGAGTACTTAACAAGCCCAACAGCAAGAACGACAGCGCAAACCATACAGTACAGTGAATTGTTATGGAACACGACAAATACAAAGCTTTTTCTCCTCAAACTCCATGATGTATTGCGTCTTGAAATCTTGTAAGGATTGTCAATGCATTAGAGACACTAATATTTGAGCTTGGAGAAAATGTATGCCTCTCTTTGACATGTTTTTTCCACACTTAAAACAACTGGATCAAATACAAGAGAAACAGGCTTCAGGCAGGTAATGATGAGAAGGAGTTGCTCCCAAGACAGAGAGAATTGTAACTACCGTATCTATTCGGCTTACTTCCAGTGACAGCATCAACAAGATTCAAGTAAGAAAACAAATAGAGAAATTCTCACAAACTTTGTACATTCATAGGGGGGAATGTTTAATGCGACAATCATCGTCTTACAGGCTTATTCAATTTCATCCACAAAAAAAAAAAATTCATTCATTTACATTACAATTCATTACAATATTACAATGTGATACATGATATTCAAAGACATTATCTGTGTCAGTGACAATCGTAATGAGATATAACATTTCCAGTCAAAAAAGAAAAAGAAATTGATCTGACAACTTGCACACTACACTAAAGCAAAATGAAATCATTTGTTCTAATGCCTCAAAAGACACGTTTTCATTCAAACAAACATGCAACTGAAACTGGACTTTTCTAGTGACGCAAAATAACTACTTACATGTTAATTTCTAACTCATTGAAAACACATCAGGCCGTAAGGTTATCCTCCTGCACATCAACATTTCAATATCAACAATTCTTTCTCCCACAAGAAACTCTCAACTGTGAGAATCCAGAAGATTTACTATTCCCAAGAGAGAGTGGACTTCCTATGAATGAATCAGTTTCTCTCTACAAACTCACTCCATTCGTTGCCATTGAGATGGCTTCCCACTGAGAAATGACACAGTACTTAAAAGATTCATTATCTCCCCCCCCCCAATTTCTGAACATCAAAATGCAGTAAAAGAACAGCTATTTTCCACGGATAACATTCTTCAACAATTGACTCGCAGAACAGAATAAAGCTGTCCTTGACTGGAGTATTGGAAAAACTGGAGTGAGAACTACCACAGTCATCAATCCATAAAAGAGAAGTCACAGATCAAGATTTTGTTCAGACAAAAACAAAGCTAATTGAACGTAAGAGAGATTCTTCCATAAGTCAAAGTATGTTACGAAGAACAAAGTGGTCACCAACACCAATTAATTACGTATGGTACAATCATTCAACATATATATATCTGCTCTTTTCACTCATCCGCCACAGATGCAGAGAAATGAAGAATAGCATCACCATTTCAAGTCAGATCTTCTTTAACGAGTAAATTTCAAAGAGCACACAATCTATACCAAAACCCTATCGGGTATCTATAGACCACAATTTTAAATGCACAGGGATCCCAATTGACATAAAAGAGCAAGGACAGTATCAGGTTTGTGCTTTATATAAACAAAAGATATCAGCAAATGATGCTCATCTAAGGTCAAAGAAACAGCAGGACATCCGATGAGACTCATAAAGGGATAACATTAATATTATACTAACTGCCAAACAATTTTTATGAAAAACAATTAGAACGATAAAAAAAGAGGCAAAAATCATAACAGAAAAAACCCTCATTAAAGATACCAAAAGGAGTGCAATGAGGAAGAATAACCCAAAATGTAAAAAAAAATATCAGCCACTTTACTTAACAAAGGAACAGCCCCTGATTCCAACTTTCAGCCTCACATCTCATTGCCACTGCCACTGACACAGCAGTAATAAAATGGCACACTTGACACATTACACAGGATTTGTCCATGTTCCTCATACAAGACAATAATAATACATGATATACAGGACAGGTAAATAACACAACAACAAAGAACATCTCTCCACTCTGCTGAGCTCACAACACTTTCACATTCACCATCGGTATCAGGCACTCCACACTCCTCGCTCCATTCATCCTTGAACCAAAGAAACAAGCCAACAAACTTGCATATTATACATATTCCCTTGTGTTGCAAGCAGTTCTTTTCCATATAAAACAAATTAATTTTGCCCGTTTCAGTGATTGGGAGCATGCGGAATCTCCCTATACAAGTTTGAAATATTTCGACCACAGTAAAACTTTGATTAAATGAGCATAAAAATACATAATAACAATTTGTTCAATCGTTAAGAATTTTAAAAGCAAAATTCATGCCACTTTACTTTAACAACTCTGAAAGCAACAGTCAGCATGTGATTGTGCACAAAAATATGAATAGTGTATACACTGTCTTTGCTGTCAACTTGGGAAGGACTTTGTAAAGTTAAATTTAACACTTTTAGTACCCCAGGCTGTAGTATGCGCTTATTTCCGCCGGCAACTTAAGTCTCCAACTCAACCAGGCACACTAAACATATTTAAACAACAAACCCCCATTGCACTAAATCGAATACCAAAGGAAGTCACTCTATGTGACAGCTGAATGGTTGAGAATTTATAAAATATTCTACCATGGCTTCAGCGTTCTAAACTGGTGCGCTACTAGAGGGTTTTTCACTATAGGAGCCTTTGGTACTGTAAGTGTTAAGGGTCAGGCTTGCATGAACTGCTTGCAACACCAATGACATTTTGACACATACTAGCACAGGTTGCCCAACAACAACAACAACAACAACAAATATACACATGTTTAAAAAAACTAAGGTCCAGGCACCAAAACAGAGGAATTCCATCGGTTGTTGGGGGGAATTTTCACGGACTCGAAAAGACATGCAATGTGTGAGAAAATACACAGCTAACCACTCAGTTCTAAAAACTATCTCCTTGATTTTGTGAATGTAGATTTTTTCAAGCATATAAAAAGATGGTGGGGGTGGGGAGATTTCAGACTCAATTCCACAAGTCTAATATTGTGATTCACTTCCTCTTTATAAAATGAAAAACATAAGAATGGCTCGATAGAAAATCTAATGCTGTCACATTTTCTAACTTCTTGGAAATCATAAATTTGAAGTTTGCCGACAACCACTACTGTTTTCTGTTTATGAATAAACCCTGTCACATTTTATTCTTTATTTGCCTTTTTATTCTTAAAAACTAATCCACTCTATTCTCAGCTATCCTTAAGGAAGCATACAGTTGGCACACCAAAGACACCCTGGAAATGTCTCTGAAAAACTTCAAACATTAACCCTTTGACTTGGGAGAGCCTTGCTCTTGACAAATCCACTTGGAGAGTGGCAGTCACAGAGTGGGCACCAAGTAGTATGAGTATTCACAAATAAGAAAACGCTGAAGCCAAGAGGGAAGACCGCAGGCTGCACACATCCACAAGTGGAAACAAACGTCTTAAAAGCTCAAAATTTGGCAAACTCTAAACTGCCAAAATTGGTCTTATTCGCCATAACAGAAGTCACGAGTCCTCTTGACCCTTATTTCTTCTATTTCTCTAGAGAAATATTCTCTGCAGATGCATTGGTCATCGTCAGACATTGACAGTAGAAACTATATTATCACTATTCAACTATAGAAGGTTCATTTCACTTTAAATACTTTAAAAGAAGTCAGTATATATATAACAATAAAACAATAGTATGACCGACATGGACTTCGAGACTTTTTCCATTAAAACAATCAGTTGTCATACTTGTGCGGTTATTGGACATTTTTTCAGCTTATACAGTGATGAGACAGTCTCCAACGTTAATACTCTGTCACTAGTTGGCTAACTCGTAAATTTAAAACCAAAAAAAAGTAGGTGGTTTTACTTTGTAGGTTGTCAGTATAATATAAATATCAGCTTATGGTGTTTGTTTCATAATCTTAATGTAGGTGTATCATGCCCCCCACCAACACAACCTACATCATTTAGTTAGAGACTTTAAAGCCTACCTGTTAGTGCTAGGGCAAACCCAGGCTGAGTGGCATAACAATGTCCCAGTGGAAAGCCCAAAATACTCGATAAAAATTTTCCTCACATGGGAATCAACCTCAAGTTTTGTGCATGCAACTGCGAAGCACCTAACCACTACCCACAACCATCTGTATCTCACTCATTCGGCATCTTTCCTTACAACGAAAACAGTGAGATATTTCTTACATAATACTAAAAAACAGAAGAATTCCCCCTTTTTGGTGTCTAAATTCCAGACCTCACATTTCAGACCCAAGACACACGTTGACCAAGTCACACACCCATCACCAGCTAAGCACAGTTCATAAATATATGTATCCATACTTCAAGCAAATCAAGCAATAAATGTATTCACTTTACATAACATTACAACAAACGGTTTTTTACATTATCTCTTATTGTCATTGTTCTCTATTGCTGCAAGACAACTAAGCTGTTCTCTTTGTTTACAGTCTTGCTCAAAACTTGTTCCTTAAATGTGAACAGTAGACCACACTCCTTCCTATTTCAGTCTTTCTTGACACTTTGTATTTTTTTCCTCCTTGTCAAAAATGTATCTAGTGTTAGTACATTTCTCTCTGTTACATCCAGGCCACAAGGGGGTTGGCTGAACTCAACAGAGACAGAGAAAGATGGCGGCAAACTCTGTTGGCTTTATGTGGAGCTACCACAAACAACAACAGCGATGGAGCCAAATGACAAATGGCATCTTGAATACAAAGGTCCTGCAAATCTTCATGCTCAGTATTGTGCGGATGTTCATCCTTCTTGCCCTAATTGTTGTAAACATTTGAGCGTGTCTGTTCGTGAAAACAACCCTTAAAAGAATAATAAGGAGAAAGAAAAATAAGCAGAGCTTTCTATCAACCTTTAAGAAATAAGGCAGATAGTTGTGCTGCAAGACATGTGACTTTGCCACCATAAAAACACACACATGCACAATTCATGTACTCTCAGACACTCCCTGGCAGATGAAATAATGATGGCGACTAATGAAAGATAAAAGTTTTGAGACAAAGTTGACCTACTTCTCCATGAAAACTACACTGACATTCATTACTGAGACAATGTTACCACCTAAAAAATGTTTAAAGTCCATGTCAAGGAAAGCTCTCAACTGTCATTGTACATAAAATCAAGTATATAAAATAACTGTTCAGGATATTTTGATCCAAACTGTCATTCTTAACTAAAACACAGCGCCTGGTGGCATACGCGTCATCTTCACGCTTTCGGCAGAAATTCACAAGACATCATTGACATCTATGTGGCATTACCTGTCTTAAAAAGCACCTTATTCTAGTGCTTAAACCCACTCAGTCTACATTATTTATTAGTTAGGTTTTTTAAATCTTTATCTAACTTCTTGTATAGTTCTTAGCTTTCATCTGTGCCTATTTTCACTTCTTGCCTTTGCACTCCTTTTCTCTCATTCTGATACAATCTAACATGCTTATTTTGTTTTTTGATCCGGTCACTGATCTTTCACACCGACACCACTTCCCACCACTCACATTTACATTTACATTGAAAGAACAACGTGCCCATCTTTCACAGCTGCAGAAACCCCTTCTGACACAGAAAGAGAGAAGCCATGGCCTGTTTAAACATATATTTGTTCTCTAGTCACCACCCTAACATCTCACAGCACAGCCATCCACACTCCTCCACACCTGGAACTTTCTCCTTTCACACTCTTTAAGGTTTACACTTTTTTTTTTTTTTAAATCGTCATCGTCTCTGTCGTCATCCCCATGAGCATGGCACTTGAATATTGAAAGTTTCCACTCAGCCCTCCCCCAGGCACACAGAGTCTGACAGCAGCATCAACACGCGACAAATGTTATGAAAGATGCCCGTGAGTGTAGGATCAGACTTGGAACACCTGCGGCATGTGAAAGTTTCGTTCACTGTGCCTGGAGCGACGTAGCTCGTTGTGAAAGTACGCGATGGTTTTGTTCAGCCCCAACTTCAGGGGAACCTGGGGAAAAGAGAAGTACGGACGAAGGTGGAGGGGGGGCCCGGAGGAAGCAAAAGATTAGTTAGTCATACATCATTTCCATAAAAATCTATGATGTAAACCAAAATGATACCCCCAAATTTTTTTTTCAAATTAAAAACCAAAGTGGTATAATGATAAGTCTCTTCCCCATTGCAAGCAGAAAATACAAGTCCAGTTCCCTGAGTATGGAAATGTTAGTGTAAATTAGAGTTTTACGGCACTTGCAACACATATACAGTAGTCTCCGCCTAAGATCCCACCGCTTACGATCCCGGTTCGCTTAAGATCCCATTGTTTTAGGAAAACATAATTCTTACTATACAAAAGTCACCCCTAAGATCCCGCTCTGATGGTCTACATTCGGCTAAGATCCCGCATTTCAGATCATAATTTGCGAAACAAAAACCCAGGCGGGCACAGCCGATCAACCAAGAGTGAAAAGTTGAGATCAATAAACTGTCCGTCGCGTCAAAGATCAGCCACTATCGTGAGTGTGATCACATACACGTTGTAAAACTCGATGAAGCGATACAATGTTTGCCCCAGACGGGATCACACCGGGTTGTGAACTAACCGACGTGTTTGTATTTCCCCACACATCGCACTCACACCTGAGCTCGCCACCTAAACTTGCATCACTCGCTGGGTGGGTAGGGCCTACATGTTCGCTCCAGGCGGGATCACATCGAACCATGAACTCTTCCCTAACCATTGCAGCAGTTGTCTCTACTCCCGAATTTTCTACACAGACTGAATTTTAATTGGTGTGCTCACAACGTAATGGTGTGTAACGACAAAGGCGGTTTGGGGGACTCGGTCAGAGATGGAAAGCTATAAATTTTCGACAGGTAAAATGGAGGGGCAACTGGATAAGCGTAGATCTTGAGACTCATGATAGGATAATAAGTGAAAATGGTACGCCTCATGCCACTATGCACCGTGATAGGTCATCAAGGTTAACCACTCTTTGCTCGCCATATGCCATAAACCCACCAAGCGGGCACGTCAGTTCATTGAAGAGTGTAGGGAGACCATTTAACCGATTGTGAGCCTTAACATGGGTCACCATAGATTCTTCCCTGGGTTCATCGGTTAAGATCCCAGTTCGCCCAAGATCCCGCATTTCCTTGCTCCTGAGCACCGGGAGCTTAGGGGGAGACTACTGTATGTCAGAAGTGCTGAAGATTGGAGGTGTGACTTAGAGAATAACATCCAAAGAAAAGGAGGAGATATAGATCATGTCTGAAAGTGAAAGGAAAGACCATACCAGAACAATGTCAACCATTCACCGAGTACAGAATCAATTTTCTTTTTTTTGTGACAATTTGTTTGAGTGTGTGTGTGTGTGTGTGTGTGTGTGTGTGTGTGTGTGTGTGTGTGTGTGTGTGTGTGAGTGCGTCTGTGTGTGTCTGTGTGTGTGTTTGAGAGATTTAGTTTTAGTACGAGTTTTACAGCATTTGCAACACAATAAGGTCATATATGAGAGATTTAGTTTTAGTACGAGTTTTACAGCATTTGCAACACAATAAGGTCATATAAGTGCCGAAGATTAGAAGTGTCACAAAAGAGTAACAAACACCAAAAAAAAAAGGAGGCAAAATCAGGACAATAGATGCTTTATAGGAAAGAAGGAGCAAACCACACCAGAGCACCCGTCAATCACCCACTTGTTTGAGAGAGAGAGCCTAAAGATTTACGAAACTGACTTAACAGTCAGTTAAAAAACACAACTAATCTGGCCCCGCGGAAAATTGCATTTTTGAAATAGAAAAATTGCAAAAAAATTGCAAGGTAAACTGCCTAAAAATTGCAAAAAATTGCAACCTTCCCATCCCAGCCCCATTAATACGGGCTTAACATTTTTAGTTTAAAAAACATGACAATTTTGAGTACCGGTAGCATAAAAGCAGCACAGCCTTTTCAAAAATCATGACCCACAATACAAATTCATCAAATGTATTAACAACATTGACTAGTAACAACACACGAGTACGTTAACAATAAAGTTATCGACCAAATATAATATGATAACACGAGACACAAAATAACGGAACCCTCGGTTTTGGTAATAACTTTTAAATGAAGGTATAAAATTTGACCAAATTTAGTTAATACCGGGTACTTGGTTCATGCAAAAATCTAGACGTGTTTGAGGTTTAGTCTATAAAAAAACAAAAGGATTTAGGAAACAACCTCTAAATACAGAATAAGCTTATGCTCCAATCAAACCAGATCCTGTTCTATTTTTTTCTTGAGACCTTCGATACACCGGTGATCTGTATTTAGATCTATTTCAGATATTTTCTGTTTTAAAACCGGCATGGTATTGTTTTAACACTAAGTCAAATCGTAAAATTCTGCAAAAAATGTTTTCCCATTTATAAACAATAATAATACATGTACTAATGTAGTTCTAGATCATTTCTACAGCACCCACTCCTGTGTGAACGCAGCTAAAGGCGTTTTACATAACGGGGTGTTTACGTACACCGTACACGAACACCTAGCCTCAGTGTCTACGTACACGGTAACCGGCAACCTGGCATGTAGTCTCAGTGTCACGTACACGGTAACCAGGCAGTTAAGAATTCCAAGTTCAGTTTTTGTCATGCGGTGTTGCCTTCAACTCCAGCCCTTCCCCGATGGTACCTTTAAAAAAAAAATCAATAATTCCCCCATTCCGGAGCTCTAAAACTTCCTTGCGCACAGACTTTGAATGAACTTTGGTGACCCGAACCGGTACTCACAATGTGATGCGAAAGCACAGGTTCACTGACCGGTAACTATGGCGAGCCCAACAAGCGCGTGTATAACTTTCTTTTTTTATTTCAACAAGTGACAGCATGGGACAAATATTGGTTTATTTTCATTCCGTTTACCGTGTACGTAGATACTGAGACTAGGTGCCCGGTTACTGTGTATTTAGACACATGCATCATGTACGAACAACATTCACGCGCGCACACACACACGCACACACACTCACGTACACCTCACACACGCACACACCTACTTTCTTATCACACGTGCACGCTTACACACATTAGATAAAGGCCTAGCCCAGAGAAGGCCATCTTCTCTGCCTAGCCTATGTCTCAGTTTCAGTTTGTGTTGTACATGATGTATTCCGGCCTGAATTTCCAGTTATAGCTTTTAGAATATGCTCAGTAGGCTTGAGCTGGGCCGATACCATGATTTACGTAGGCCTATCGGCTCTGTACTCGCACCATTTAGTATTAAAAATTCTGTTAAAATTAAATCATTGATGTATTTTTGCCTAAAATTGCAAGAAATTTTGAAAATTGCAAAAAATTGCGGGTTTATTGCGGAACTCGACGAAAAATGTGGCCGCAAGTCCGCGATTTCCTGGGGGGCCAGACTAATAGGGGATTTAACAGAAAGCAAATGCTGAAAATAAGAATAAAAACTTTTCTTCCAATAAAAAAAACATATAACAAGAAAAAGCCGAAAAAAAAAAATATAACAAGAAAAAGCCGAAAAAAAACATCCCAGATTTATAAATAAATCAAACAGCTGAATAACCTGTCAGCTGCACACTCACCATGGGCTTCCACCCCAGGTATTTCATTGCACGGCTAATGTCCGGCTTTCTTCTCTGTGGATCATCCTCCATTGCCGTCTTCTTGACTATTTTGCTGCCTCCGCCTGAATTGTTATAAAAAAAACATTAAAAAATTGTTATTAGGTTTTTGTAAGAGTTCTACAGCGCTCGCAACTGCATGATAAGGTCATATGAGCGCCAGAAGATTAGAGGAGTTACAAGAGAGCAACAAACATTAAAAAAAGAAAAAAGGGGAGATAAGGACGATATGTTTCATAGGAAAGAAGAAGCAAACCACACCAGAGGACCCGCCAAACACCCACAAAAAATTGTTAGTATAGGGGACGTCTCCATACCAATCAGGACGTAGTGTTAATGAGGACAACACCATACCAATCAGGACGTAGTGCTAATGAGGACAACACCATTACAGAACTAATGAGGACATCACTGTACTAAGGAGGACATCACTGTGTTAATGAGGACATCACTGTGCTAATGAGGACATCACTGTGCTAATGAGGACATCACTGTACTAATGAGGACATCACTGTACTAATGAGGACATCACTGTACTAATGCGGACATCACTGTACTAATGAGGACATCACTGTACTAAGGAGGACATCACTGTGCTAATGAGGACATCACTGTGCTATTGAGGACATCACTGTACTAATGAGGACATCACTGTGCTAATGAGGACATCACTGTGCTAATGAGGACATCACTGTACTAATGAGGACATCACTGTACTAATGAGGACATCACTGTACTAATGCGGACATCACTGTACTAATGAGGACATCACTGTACTAAGGAGGACATCACTGTGCTAATGAGGACATCACTGTGCTATTGAGGACATCACTGTACTAATGAGGACATCACTGTGCTAATGAGGACAACACAGTACTAATGAGAACATCACTGTGCTAATGAGGACATCACTGTGCTAATGAGGACATCACTGTGCTAATGAGGACATGACCGTTCTAGTGAGGACATCTAACGGATGGAGTTGGTATGATGATGTATGAAATTTTCAGAGGGTACGCGTAATTCTGTTTAAAAAAAATTAGGAAGATTGGAGGAGGAGGAGAAGAAAAAAGTGTACCTACCGACCATGGAGAGAATGATCTCTGCAAACTCCATGATGGTGTGCTCCTCAGGGTTGCCCAGATTGACGGGCTGCGAGAAGTTGGAGTTCATCAGCAACATGAGGCCGTCCACCAGGTCGCTAACGTACTGGAATGACCGTGTCTGCTCACCCTCACCATACACCTGAGGATAAAAGCAGCCAAATACATTCTCTAATCAGTCTGGAGGGGGGAAAAAAACATCCAAAAGCCATTTGCTATGACAACAATATTCTTTACAGGTACACTATGGGTGTTCAGCAATGTAATTATCAACATAAGCAAAACATCAATACTCTTTATAATCACTAATAGTTTAGTTGTAGGTAGTTTTATTAAGCGTTTTATGGCACTAGCAATATAAATAGAACATACAAATACAGGTGCCAAAGATTAAACGTATTACTAAAGAGTAGCATAGAAAGAAAAGAAGGCAAAAAAAGAATAGGATGATAGATCTTTCTTTGGTAAGAAAGAGCAACACACACAAGAGTAGGCCTACCTGTCAACCACGCACATATGTTGAGTTAGGCAAAGTACATTGTAATTTCGAACAGAAGTAAAACATTCTCTATACTTACAGTGATAGATTCATTTTGCAATGCTTGTAAAATGAAATTACTGACAACTCTGCCATCATTCATGTGCATGCGAGGGCCAAAGGTATTGAAGATACGAGCGACGCGAACCTCTACATTCTCCTGGGGATTGAAAAACAAACAAAAAAATGTTATAAACCAAGAGGACGAGACAAGTTTGAAAACAACATATATCTGTTAAATATTTCAGAGTGAATCTTATGTGATGCAATATATGGAAATACCGATATGGGACTGATTTATCGACGATACATCCTGAAAAGATTAAGATTTTCAATACGGAATGTGCCACTGGTTGGAGGAGCCTCATGGATGTCCTACTTCTTTCCTCTCAAATGGCTGTTTCTGTCTATCAAAGGAAAAAGTGAAAAATAAAGGTCTAAAAATGGAATGCACTTGAGAAGCTTTTCAGGCGTGCCTACACCAATGCAACAGTGAATATGCGAGTGGTTGGAGAGTACGTCTGGTTGGCCCTACTTCTTTGCTATTCCTCTGTTGTTTCTATGTGTCAGCCTTGTTATTTCCTAGCACTAAACATATATATGCCACTCTGCCAATGTGCTTCTCATTATTCAAACACAGTGAACTAAAAAACAAAAAACCCAAAATACTGAGCAGCTACTTCTCACACATGTGAGGGAAAAAACAAGTTGAGTTCTTACTAAAAACGGACAGTTGGAGAAACTGGCAAACTTGCCTTGAGTGAAGAAAAATGATCCAGCATTCAATTTAATTTATAAGTTTCACTGCAATAACCTTTTCACAATCAGATGCAAACCATACGTGAGGCCACTCTTGTATCGAGCCAAAAGGCATGTGCACAGTTTTTCCTTGTTCTCGTTTTCTTCTTCTTCCTCGTTCTCGAATGCGTACAGTCATTTACACCACCTTTAGTGTTGAACAACTACTCATGGGGTATACACATCCTGTTTGAATCAGTGGACCATTTATTCTTTTAACTAAGTTTTCAATTCACCCCAAATTCTACATTTCCTGGGAAGTTCCAGTGTGAGAACAATGCATAATATGTAGAGAATGTGAGCAATGCAAAAAGGAAATCAGCCGGAACCATAAGCTATCCACATACAAACACAAAAAGTAATTAATTAAGAAGAGACAAGAATTCTTTTTAATCCAATAAAAATTATCTTAAAGCGTCCAAGAAAATACAAAATTCTGGTTGCTGAGACGATGAGCATACTTCCCTGCAGATAAAGTTAACAATAATACTGGAAATGAAGTAGAAAGTTTTAAAAAACCTTTTAGGAAGAGTTTTACTGCATTTACAACACAGTTACATCATATATATGCAGAAGATTAGAGTTTTACAACACAGTAACAAACTCAAAAGAGAAGGAGGGATAAGGATGACAGATGCTTGACAGGAAAAAAGGAGCTTACCACACCAGAGCATCCATCAACCACCCACAAAAGTAGAAAAAACAGAAAACACTGAAATACCCACCATCTGCAACAATATATTTGTTATTTAAAAGGCAGGCACAGAGCATGTGCAACTTATCAGAAAAACTTCATCATGCACCACTTTACCTGCTTCTCATATGCATAGCACATGGTCTCAGCAACTCTCTTCCCCTCATCATAACAGGCACGGGGCCCGATAGGATTTACATGGCCCCAGTAGTCCTCATTCTGGGGGTGAAGCTCTGGATCTGGGAACAAACCAAAAAAAACACCAAAAACACTTTTTTTTGGTCCTGTCTCCCTTTTCGGGTGCAAATGGTGCCATGTTAGTGATTTTACTAAGATCAGACAAATGGCTACGAGAATGTAAGTAAATACAAACAAATGTACTTCAAAATTAAGACGGAACAAGAGAATGAATACAACAATGGAATCTATTTAATTTTGTCAGTATCTTATTTGTTGATCATATAATTTTTTTTTCTTAACCCCCCCCCCCCATTAAACAAAACAATACAATGGCAGTAAACACTACAAGAATGTGCTTAAAAGAAAATTTGGAGTTGACAAGGCATTTCCAACAGAACACAAAACATTAAGAAGGTTGGACTTTAGAGTAAACATTGATTTCCACTGAGAGGAAGCCTATGATATTCCTTGAACATCGCAGGAACTCAAATAAATGGCCCTTGCAAGGTTTGTTTTGTTTTTTGTTTTTGTAAAGTGTTTTACAGCGCTCGCAACTGCATAAGGTCATATGAGCGCGCGGGACACACCTAATAT